TTTGTATGGCTACATAATATTCCCATGTGTGTGTGTGCGTGTGTGTGTGTGTACATATCACATCTTCCTTACCCATTTATCTATCGATGGACACTTAGGTTGCTTCCATATCATGGCTATTGTAAATAATGCTATAAATTTCAAAGCAGTGTTTTCATTTTCTTTGAGAAAATACCCAGTATTGGAATTGTTGGATCATATCATATTTCTATTTTAATTTTTTGAGGAACCTCCATACTGTTTTCCACAGTGGCTGCACCAATTTGCATTTCCATCAACAGTGCACAAGGGTTCTTTTTTCTCCACATCTTTGCCAACACTTGTCATTTCTTATCCTTTTTATTTTAGCCATTCTGACAGGTATAAGGTGATACCTTATTGTGGTTTTGATTTGCATCTCCCTGATGACAAATGATGTTGAGCATCTTTTCATGTATCTGTTGGGCCATCTGGATGTCTTCTTTGGAAAAATGTCTATTCAGGGCCTCTGCCCATTTTTTTTTATTTTATTTTATTATGTTATGTTAGTCACCATACATCATTAGTTTTTGATGTGGTGATCCACGATCCATTGTTTTCATATAACACCCAGTGCTCCATGCAGTACGTGCCCTCCTTAATACCCATCACCAGGCTAACCCATCCCCCCACCCCTCTCCCCTCTAAAACCCTGTTTGTTTCTCAGAGTCCATAGTCTCTCATGGTTCATCTCGCCCTCCGATTCCCGCCCCCTTCATTTTTCCCTTCCTTCTCCTAATGTCCTCCATGTTATTCCTTATGTTCCACAAATAAGTGAAACTATATGATAACTGACTGCCCATTTTTTAATCAGATTGTTTGTTTTTTTGGTGTTGAGTTGTATAAGTTCTTTGTATATTTTAAATATTGACCCGTTATTGGATAGATCATTTGAAAATATCTTCTCCCATTTAATAGGTCGGCTTTTTGTTTTGTTGATGGTTTCCTTCCCTGTGCAAAAGTTTTTTATTTTGATGCAGTCCCAATAATTTATTTTTGCTCTTGCCTTAGGAGACATATCTGGAAAAAATGTTGCTACATCTGATATCTGAGAAATTACTGCCTGTGTTCTCTTCTAGGACTTTTACAGTTTCAGGTCTCACATTTAGGTCTTTCATCCATTTTGAGTTTATTTTTGTGTGTGGTGTAAGAAAGTGGTCCACTTTCATTCCTGCATGTAGGTGTCCAGTGTTCCCCAATACAATTTATTGAAGAGATGGTCTTTACCCCATTGTATAGTCTTGCCTCATTTATTATAAATTAATTGGCCACATAAGCATGTATTTATTTCTGGGCTCTCTATTCTATTCCATTGATACATAAGTCCTTTTTTGTGCCAGTACCATATTGTTTTGATAACTACAACTTTGTAGTTTATCTTAAAATCTGGGAGTGTGATACTTCTACCTTTGTTCATCTTTCTCAAGATGGCTTTGGTTATTTGGGGTCTTCTGTGATTCTATACAAATTTTAGGACTGTTTGTTGTAGTTCTTGGTATTTTGATAGGGAATGCAATGAATCTCTAGATTGCTTTGAGTAATATGGATATTTTAACTATTGATTTTTCCAATCCACGAGCATGGAATATCTTTCCATTTGTTTGTGTCATCTTCAATTTCATGCAAATTTTATAGTTTTCAGAATATAGGTCTTTCACCTCCTAGGTTAAGTTTATTCCTAGGTATTTTATTCTTTTTGATGCAATTATAAAGGGAACTATTTTCTTAATTTCTCTTTCTGCTACTTTGTTGTTAGTATATAGAAATGCTATCGATTTTTGGGTATTAACTTTGTATCCTGGAACTTTACTGAATTCATTTATTACTTCTAGTAGTTTTGGGTGAAGTTTTTAGGATTTTCTATGTGTAGTATTATGTTATCAGCAAATAGTGACAGTTTAACTTCTTTACCAATATAGATGCCTCTTATTTTTCTTTCTTTCTAGTCTGATTACTATGGCTAGGACTTCCAGTACTATGTTGAATAAGAGAGGTGAGAGTGGACATCCTTGTCTTATTCCTGATCTTAGAGGGAAAGCTCTCTCAGTTTTTCACCATTGAGTATGATGTTAGCTGTGGATCTTTCACATGTGACCTTTATTATATTGAGGTATGTTCCCTCTACACCCACTTTGTTGAGTTTTTGACATGAATGGATGTTGAATTTTATCAAATGCTTTTTCAGTATCTATTGAGATGACCATATGATTTTTATCTTTCATTTTGTTGAAGTGTTGTGTCACATTGATTGATTTGCACGTATTGAACCATCCTTGCATCCCTGAGATAAATCCCACTTGACCCCAATGATCCTTTTAATGTATTGTTGAATGCAGTTTGCTAATATTTTGTTGAGGAATTTTGCATCTACGTTCATCAGGGATATTGGCCTATAGTTTCCTTTTTTTGTTGTGTTTTGGTATCAAGGTAATCCTGGCCTCATAGAATGTATTTGGAACAGATATTAGTTCTTTATTTTTTTAATTTAAATTCAATTAGCCAATTTATAGTACATCATTAGTTTCAGATGTAGTATTCAACAATTTATCAGTTTCGTATAACACCCAGGGCTCATCACATCACGTGTCCTCCTTAACGCCCATCATCAAATTACCCCATCCCCACACCCATGCCCCTCCAGCAACCTCAGTTTGTTTTCTATAGTTAAGAGTCTCTCATGGTTTTTTCTCTCTCTCTGATGACTTCCCATTTTGTTTTCCCTCCCTTCCCCTATGGTCCTCTGCTGTTTCTTATGTTCCACATATAAGTGAAACCATATGATAATTATCTTTCTCTGATTGACTTATTTAGCGCAGCATAATACCCTCCAGTTCCATCCATGTCGATGTATATGGTAAGTATTCACCCTTTCTGATGGCTAAGTAATATTCCATTGTATATATATACCACCTCTTCTTTATCCATTCATCTGTCAATGGACATCTTGGCTCTTTCCGTAGTGCGGCTATTGTGGACATTGCTGCTATAAACATTGGGGTGCAGGTGCCCCTTCAGATCACTACATTTGTATCTTCAGGGTAAATACCCAATAGTGCAATTGCTGGGTCGTAGGGTAGTTCTATTTTAACTTCTTGAGGAACCTCCATACTGTTTCCCAGAGTGGCTGTACCAGCTTGCATTCCCACCAACAGTGTAAGATGGTTTCCCTTTCTCTGCATCCTTGCCAACATTTGTTGTTTCCTGTCTTGCTAATTTTAGCCATTCTGATTGGTGTGAGGCGGTATCTCATTGTGGTTTTGATTTGTATTTCCCTGATGCCAAGCGATGTGGAGCATTTTTTCAGATGACATCCTACTTTATGTGGAAAACCCAAAAGACTCCACCCCAAAATTGCCAGAACTCATAGGAATTCAGCAATGTGGCAGGATATAAAATCAATGACAGAAATCAGTTGCATTTCTATACACTAACAATGAGACAGAAGAAAGAGAAATTAAGGAATTGATCCCATTTATAGTTGCACCAAAAACCTTAAGATACCTAACCAAAGAGGTGAAGGATCTGTACTCCAAAAGGTACAGAACACTTATGAAAGAAATTGAGGAAGACACAAAGAAATGGAAAAACATTCCATGCTCATGGATTGGAAGAACAAATATTCTTAAAATGTCTGTGCTACCCAGAGCAACCTAGACATTCAGTGCAATCCCTATCAAAATACCATCAACATTTTTCACAGAGTTGGAACAAATAATCCTAAAATTTGTGTGGAACCAGAAAAGACCCCAAATAGCCAAAAGAATATTGAAAAAGAAAACCAAAGTTGGTGGCATCATAATTCCAGACTTCAAGCTCTATTACAAAGCTGTAATCATCAAGACAGTATGGTACTGGCACAAAAACAGACCCATAGATCAATGGAACAGAAGAGAGCACTCAGAAATGGACTTTCAAGTCTATGGTCAACTAATCTTCAACAAAGCAGGAAAGAATATCCAATGGAAAAGGACAGTTTCTTCAACAAATGGTGCTGGGAAAATTGGACAGCCACATGTAGAAAAATGAAACTGGACCATTTTCTTACACCATACACAAAAATAGACTCAAAATGGATGAAAGACCTCAATGTGAGACAGGAATCCATCAAAATCCTAGAGGAGAACACAGGCAGCAACCTCTTTGACCTCGGCCACAGCAACGTTTTGCTAGACACATCTCCAGACACAAGGGAAACAAAGGCAAAAATGAACTACTGGGACTTCATCAAGATTAAAAGCTTCTGCACAGCAAAGGAAACAGTTTGCTGCCTACAAGAGACTCACTTCAGACATAAAGACACATACAGACTGAAAGTGAAGGGATGGAAACACATTTACCATGCAAATGGAAGCAAAAAAAAAAATATGGAGTAGCAATACTTACATTAAACAAAACAGACAAAATCAGACAAAGACTGTAACAAGAGACAAAGAAGGCCATTTACATAATGATAAAGGGATCAATCCAACAACAGAGTATAACAGTTATAAATATCTATGCACCCAACATTGGAGTACCTAAATGCATAAAGCAAATACTAACAGGCATAAAGAGAGCAACTGATGGTAATACAATAATAGTAGGGGACTTTAACACCTCTCTTAAATCAATGGATAGATCATCCAGGCAGAAAATCAATAAGGAAAGAGTGTCTTTGAATGATACCCTAGATCAGATGGACATAACAGATATATAGAGAACATTCCATCCAAAATAACAGAATAAATTAGCAGTAAAACTTTCTTATATTACCCCACATTCTATATTTTATCAGAAACTTAAGAAAAACAATTTGGAGAAATGCTTTTACTTAGCAATATATTTTATAAATTGATAGAATTTCCCACTGCATAAGTACCATATTTTTTTCAAAATTGAGGTTCTTTGTGGGTAGTTCCCCACTTTTGTTCATCTCTTCTTCTTCTTCTTCTACTTTTGTTTCCCTTAGACTTGCTCAGTCAATGAATCCTGTTTTAAATCGTTTATAAAAAGTATTTGGGTGTACTCATATGAAAATGATGATTATTCTCATAATGGTGTCCTTCTTTGTAGGATCCAAATCTAAAAAAAAATGTAATTGACATGTAAAAGCCATTCAGAAAAGTACATTCTTATATAAAATTTCAACCATAATCTATTATGGTTTTACTTATCTATTATAAAACCAGGAGAGATATGATCAATTTACAAAACAGCAAATGCAGAAATAAAAAAGGATTCATGCATATGGGAAAGGCAGACTACAATTTTAACCTTCAAAGTCCTCTTTCCATGGTTATGAATCATTCCAAAAGCACAACTGTTTAAGAATTATTGGCTGATAACATTGGTGGAAAATAAGTCTGGATTTTCTCTCTGGTCTACAGTTTGAATAATATCCATTTTATGGATGAAGGGATCATGAAACCTGAAATGTTATTTATGTCACATTAATGCATATGTAATCTACTTTGGCACAATTTCAACTTCTAAGTCTTCCACAGGTGCTACAGATGAACAACTTACCTTGCTGATGAATAATTAATTAATTTTACAGCTCTGGCTGGGATGATGAAATACAAAAGGCACTAGAAAGGAAGGTAAGACCTGAGTAAATGAAGCCACTGACTTCCTTTTCTTCATCAGCAATCGCAATATCCACATAGCCTCTGTAACGCAGGACATAGGGGGTCTGGGTTTTTTTTGTCATCTCAAGACAATAATAAGGAATATTAAAATAGCACCTTTGAGCTGCTATTCTATGACTAGAACTGAGTCCTAGGGAATTAATCAAGGATATGCCCAAAGATTTAATAAGGAGCCCCAGAAGACTTCTTATAATAATGAAAGAATAAATGTGCAAAAACAACTAACTTGGTTAGCTATATTTGGTATATCCATATAATAGAATATTATGCAATCATTTAAAAACATTTTCAGAAGAATACATTATTGTGGAAGGAGGCTCATCATACACTATATGGAGAGAAAAAATGAGATTAATAAATAGAATGAACATACACATACATATATGTTTCATATAATTATAAAGTTGAGATAATTGTGTGATATATAGATATATAGGCACATAAAAAGCAAAGATGTATCCAAAACTATTACCAGTAATAACTTTTGAATTGCTTATCTCCCCACTAGAACATAAGCTCCCTTACAACAAAGACTTGGTCTTATTCACCGTTTTGTCCTCAGTATCTAGCACAAGGCCTAGCATGGTGATGACATCGTGGTACTCAATGAGAACTTGCTGAATTAAGGAATGGGATTTTTGATGAACTTAGTATTCTTTGACTGTTTTTATTTGATAAATGTTTATATATATATGTGGAATTTTTAAATTAATACAGGCTTTCTACTTATGCTTCTGCTATTTTCATAATTAAACTGGGAAAGCAGATCGAGCTCCCTTCACAGGTGGTTTGGATCAATCTGCAGTTGTGATTAGCTAACAAATATTTTATTTGGACTTCTCCACACTCTTGATGTATGAGAATAAAGAAACAGGGGAACCTTTATCTTCCCAGATTTTCTAGTTTCCATGTAAGAAGTCACCTCTGTCAACAAAAGGAGAAAACTTTGGATTTCACTTCTGTGACGATTACAAGTATTACTGTTGCTATTGTATCTACTGCCTATTCAGCATTCACCATGCACGTCCTCTTTTTTTTTTCCCAAGCAGCTTTATTGAAATGTGCCAAAAGTACATGGACAGCACAAATGTATGAACAGGAAAAAAATATCACATGTATCACCATGCTATTCTAGGAGCGCTATGTTTCATTCAAACCTCAAATTACCCTAGGAGGTGAACACTACTGTTTTTCCCATTTTGCAGGTGAGAGACTTGAGGCTTAGAGAGATTAGCCAACTCGCCCACAGTTCCCCAGCTGTTTGCTGGCAAGAGTGAGGACTGGAACTGGGTAACTTGCCTCGGAGCCCATGTTCTTCACTAGCATATTACACACACAAGGGGTGACATCAAACACAGCGATGCAAGCAATCAAGACTTGTTATAGCTCTCCTTACATTCATTCCCTACACTTTGGTACAGTTTTTTTCTTGTTGTAAGGAGAGACAAGGAAGAAAAAGAAAACAGATAAATTCCACTGTCCCTCACCCACACCCTCCACGCCCTGGGGAGCAAATAAAATGAAGTTTGAGAAGCTTCTACAGCAATTAGCTGGTAAAAGTAGTAGAAATGTCAAATAATAATAACATATATGATATGTTCTGGGCTTGGTTTTATGCAGACATTTCTTCTCATTAGTCGTGAGAAGAAAAAAAAAACACATACTTTAAAGCACATAATTTGCTGCAAACAGATTTCTCAGATAACCTCTATTTAGAACTAAACAAAATCCAATATATTTCACATGCTAGAATCTCTGCAGTGGAAATGAATTATCCTCTCTACGTAGCCTCAATCCTAATTGCACATTAGAGTAACTGGGAACGATTTTTGAAAACCCAAAGCCCAGAGGTGGGACTCCCCAGGTGAGTCCAGTGTGCAGCCAGAGCTGAGACTCTCAGCAACCCAACCATGCTAACAGACTTCCTTCCCACTTCTGAGCTCTGTCATTCACTAGCTGTGTAACCCCAGTGAAGTCATTTCATTTTCCTCAGCCTGAACTTCTTACCTATAAAATGAGGATAATGAGAGTACCAACCCAAGAGTGATTAACTGAGATAATACCGAAAGCATCTAGAACAGGGTCTGGAACACAGAACACTCAAATTTTAGCTGTCATTGCGGTGTTGATGGTGATGGTGATGAAGATGATGCCAATGTGATCTTTTTCACCTGACCCTGGGACCATAGCATGTTACTCTATCCCAGAAAGCAGGAACCATAACTTCAATCCAGGCAGGATCTTATCATTTTTACCATGAGCATCCTTACCTGAACAAACCTCTAGAACCATATTTAATTTGGAACTCATCGCAGGATAATATATTTAGGTCTGTAGAGGGGATGTGGTGCCTCATGAAGGAATGCACTCACCTAGGATTGAAATGAATTTCCTTTGGAACTTCCCTCTGGTCTGTGACCACTTTCTGGTTGTCTCTATAATTAATGGGGTCATCAGGGATCCTAAATTTGGCCACCTGAATTTCAGAGTCACTCAGTTCAGCATGGGAGATTCTTGCATAACCCAGTCTATGGCAGAAATAGAAATGGTTTGTAAAGGTTTTATCACCGTACAGAAATCTGATGAGATCTAATGGATATCACCTGCATTATTAGGCCAATTTCCCATTTATAACTCTACTCTGTACATCACTAGAATTAGCTTGATTTATTACTCCGAATATTTATCAAAATATTGCTCTTATTATATAAATGAATAAGGAACATGCACACAGATTTAATCAACTAAACAAACACTAATGAATATTCTGGTCTCTACAAATCACCTATCACACAATTATGTTTTGCATCAAGAACAGGAGTTCTCCAGAATGACAGGAGGATATGCCTAAACTCTTTCTTACCTTTAAAAATTCAAATACCACACACATATTTTCATCCACATTTACAAGTCTAAAACAAAAGATATTGTATGTCTGAAAAAAAAATTACACATCCTGTTTTTGCTTAGAGCTTTCAGTTCTACAGGAAATCAAAGCATTTTATAGATGTTATCCAAACAGTTACAGTGAGGCCCAGATGGAAAAACGGGGGAACCATGGGCAACCAAGAATTCATTTTACTTTATTTATATTTTGCCTCTTCAAAAAAAAACACTATCCACTTCAGTCATTCATTCGCTTTTCAGTGAACAAATATATATCAAGTCCCTACCACATGCAGGCTTCATTCTCGATAGGAGGGATAAACAGTGAACAAAACAAAACCCTTGCCCTCGTAGAGCTTTGATTCTAGTTGGGGAGAACAAATTAAATATGTATGTAGGTATAAAATCTATCAGGTGGTGAAAAGTACCTAAGTACCCCGGAAGAATAAGAGTAGAGCGGACAGGAAATGCTAAGTGGCAGAGGTCGCTAGTTTACACTAGATGCTCAGCATACCGCTCTGACAGAGTGACACTGGCAAAAAGATTGAATGAAGAAACAACCCAGACAGATGTTGGCAGAAGGGTGCTCTAGGGAAAGGGAGCAGCAAATGCAAATATCCCGAAGGAGAACGTGCTTGACTTTTTTGAGGGCCAGTGACTGGAGTGGAGTGCATAAGGGCAAACACAGTAGGAGATGAGTTTGCACGCATGTCAGGGATGGTGGATGATACAAAGCTTTCCGTGCAGACCCCTCTAAGGACTTCAGATCTTCTTCTGACAGTGAGATGGAAATCCAAGCGGTTCTGTGCAGAAATGCAATGGCGACTGTGTAGAGAACAGACTCCAGGGAAGGGAGACCAGTTAGGAGGCCACGGCAAGGATTTAGGTGACAGGCGGTGGGGGCTTGAGCCAGACAAGTAGTAGGAGAAACATTCAAAGCAAAACCTGTAACAACATGCCAAATAGAGACAGAAACCCAGAGCTGGGGCACGTGGAGAAAGCAGGTCTGCCCACCATGAAGGGAAAGAGGAGAGCTGTGACAGCATCGGAATGGGGTGACAGGTGTCTGACAGGCTGAGCTATTTGTCTAAGCCCAGGTCCCAAATCTGTGCAGTTCCCTGTAATTCACGGTCACTGTCTCTAGTAAATCTAACTTTTGTTATTTATCAAATCTCTAAGATCAAAGTTATAACTCATTTCATAGACACTGCCTTCAAGGTCCTTCTAAAAGTCCTTGAAGATAAGGAACCAGACAATCCAAATTGTCTACTAAAACAAGGAATCTCTTATTGTCCAGTAAGGATTTATTAAGTGCTTATGAAGTGCCCATCATTGAATTAGATGGTTGATATAAAGTTTATAGAATTGGTTTTATGGACAGAAACTGAAAAACAATAATCCCTAACTTCATTAAATTTGTTTTTTTATTTTAAATTCCAGTTAGTTAACATACAGTGTAATATTAGTTTCAGGTGTACAATATAGTGATTCAGCACTTTCATACATCACCTGGTGCTCATCACAAGTGCACTCCTTAATCCCCATCACCTACTTCACCCATCCCCCCACCAACCTCCCCTCTGCTAACCATCAGTTTGTTCTCTATAGTTAAGAGTCTGTTTCTTGGTTTGCCTCCCTCTCTCTTTTTTTTCCCTTTGCTCATTTGTTTTGTTTCTTAAATTCCACATATGAGTGAAATCATATAGTATTTGTCTTTCTCTGACTGACTTATTTTGCTTAGCATTATAATCTCTAGCTCCATCCATGGCATTGCAAATGGCAAGATTTTATTCTTTTTATGGCTGAATAATATTCCACTGTGTATATATACCATTTCCTCTTTATCCATTCATCTATTGATGGATACTTGGGCTGCTTCCATAATTTGGCTATTGTAAATAATGCTGCTATAAACATTGGAGTGCATGTATCCCTTTGAATTAGTATTTTTGTATTCTTTGGGTAAATACCTAGTAGTTCAATTGCTGGGTCATAAGTTGGTTCTATTTTTAACTTTTTGAGGAACCTCCATACTGTTTTCCACAGTGGCTGCACCAGTTTGCATTCCCACCAACAGTGCAAGAGGGTCCCTTTTTCTCCATATCCTCGCCAACACTTATTATTCTTGTGCTTTTTATTTTAACCATTCTGCAGGTGTGAGGTGATCTCACTGTAGTTTTGATTTGCATTTCCCTGTTGATGACTGATAGTGAGCATCTTTTCATGTGTCTGTTGGGTCATCTAGATGTCTTCTTTGAAGAAATATCTGTTCATTTCTTCTGCCCATTTTTAATTGGATTATTCATTTTTGGGGTGTTGAGTTTTATAAATTTTGGATACACTTTATCAGATATGACATTTGCAAGTATCTTCTGTATCTTCTCCCATGCCGTAAGTTACCTTTTAGTTTCGTTGATTGTTTCCTTTGCTGTGCAGAAGCTTTTTATTTTGATGTAGTCCCAATAGTGTATTTTTGCTTTTGTTTCCCTTGCCTCAGGAGACATATCTAGAAAGAAGTTGCTATGGCCAATCTCAAAGCAGTTACTGCCTTTCTCTTCTAGGATTTTCATGGTTTCCTGTCTCACATTTAGGTCTTTCATCCATTTTGAATTTATTTTGTGCTTGTCTTTTGCATGTTGCTGTCCAGTTTTCCCAACACTATTTGTTGAAGAGACTGTCTTTTTCTATTGGATAGTCTTTCCTGCTTTGTCAAAGATTAGTTGACCATAGACTTGAGAGTCCATTTCTGGGCTCTCTGTGCTGTTCCATTGATCTATGTGACTGTTTTTGTGCCAGTACCATACTGTCTTGATGATGACAGCTTTGTAACAGAGCTTGAAGTCTGGAATTGTGATGCCTCCCACTTTGCTTTGCTTTTTCAAGATTGCTTTGACTCTTTGGGGTGTTTTGTGGTTTCATATAAATTTTGGGTTTTTTTTGTTCTAGTTCTGCTACTTTTCTGTTATAAACTAAATGTTTGTATCATCCCCCAAATTCATATGTCAAGCTATATCCCCAGTGTAGCCATATTTGGAAATGGGATCTCCAAGGAAGTAATTTAGTTGAATGAGGTCATAAGGGTGGGACTCTGATTCAGTAAGACTAGTGTCCTTATAAGAAGAGACACCATACTGCAGCCACTCTGGAGAACAGTATGGATGTTCCTCAAAAAGTTGAAAATAGAGCTACCCTATGACCCAGCAATTGCACTACTGGGTATTTACCCCGAAGATACAAATGTAGGGATCCGAAGGGACACCTGCACCCCAATGTCTATAGCAGCAATGTCCACAATAGCCAACCTATGAAAAGAGCCCAGATGTCCATCAACAGATGAATGGATAAAGAAGAGGTGGTTTGTATACACAATGGAATACTACTCAGCCATCAAAAAAAGAAATCTTGCCATTTGCAACAACATGGATGGAACTAGAGGGTATTATGCGAAGTGAAATAAGTCTATCAGAGAAAGACAATTATATGATCTCACTCGTATGTGGAATTTAAGAAACAAAACAGAGGATCACAGGGGAAGAGAGGAAAAAAGTAAAACCAGATGAAATCAGAGAGGAAGACAAACCATAAGAGACTCATAATTATAGGAAACAAACTGAGGGTTGCTGGAAGGGAGGGGGGTAGGGGGATAGGGTAACTGGGTGATGGACAGTAAGGAGGGCATGTGATATAATGAGCACTGGGTATTATTTAAGACTGATGAATCACTGACCTCTTCCTCTGAAACTAATAATACATTATATGTTAACTAACTGAATTTAAATAAAACATTTTTTAAAAATTTTATTTATTTATTTGACAGAGACAGAGACAGCAAGAGAGGGAACACAAGCAGGGGGAGTGGGAGAGGGAGAAGCAGGCTTCCCGCGGAGCAGGGAGCCCGACGGGGCTGGATCCCGGGACCCTGGGATCATGACCTGAGCTGAAGGCAGATGCTTAATGACTGAGCCACCCAGGCGCCCATAAATAAAACATTTTTTTAAAAAAGAAGAGACACCATACAGCATATGTGCTTGAACACACTCTTTTTCTCTGTCTCTGTCTCCAGAACAGTGAGTAAATAAATTTCTGTTGTTTAAGCCACCCAGCCATATTTAGCATATATATGTAAATATTTATATATTAAAAATCTGCCACCCCACTCTTCCAAGGAGAGGTGATAAGGGTCTTGGGCCACAAGTATACAGAGCCAAATGATTAGCTCTTATGGGCACTGGTACTATAAATATCACTGTTCCCTGGCAACTAACAATATTTACAACTTCATTTTATACCTACCTCAGTATATATCATAAACTGTTTTCTAGAAATTCTAATATCCTTGTTAAAACAACCACTTTAATATGAATGAAAACAGAAACAGTGTTTTCAATCTGGCATCATATACTTTATAAACTAACACTTTAGCATCTCCCTCCCACCTTAACCCTTTGGAAACACCAAAATAATAATCAAGCTATCTGTCCTGCAGCCACGTGGGCATGTGTTGGGCCTTTTGGAGTTTCCGAATTATTAGTGTAACCAGAACTATCTTGGCATCTCAAAGGTCTCCTTGTCTCATCCCAGTAAGCATATGAACCCATGAACCCATGGATTTATTCAGGAACCAATAAGGGTCACCATTTATTAAGTCTTAATAAGAGTCCACAGAAGCTGACGTGATCTGCCTTCCTTCCCTGTCCATATACAACCCCTTACCTCTTCTACCACCCCCTTCCCCCTACACACACCGTAGCCCAACCAGCCTCACTTTTCTTCAGACACATCTGCACTCCTGCCTTCAGGCTTTTGCACTAAGCTAGTCCCTGGAAGGGTCTTCTCTCGGCCACATGGACCACTCCTTCAAATCTTAGCTCCAGTGTCACCTTCTCAGTAAGACCCACCCAACCGGCTATTTCAATGGCACCCACCTCCATCTTCTGGATGCTCTTTAACCTGCTCAGTTGGTTTCCACCATACTCACCACCTCCTAAACTATGACACCATGGAATTATGGTCTTTCTTCCTTCTGCCAGGGTAAGGATCCGTCTCTGTTTTGTTTACTGCTTATACCCCTGGTGCCTGGCATACATTATGCTCCACGAATACTTGTTGAATGACAAATAAGGTAAAGAAGAGTTGAACATCACAGTGTGCTTTCACTAGACTATGACTCATAACTGAACAAGCCATATCTCCAATGGGAGAGAAGTTGATCCTGTGATTCTCATCCCTAGAAGCCAACCATTTTCTCTCATAAATGGAGACCACAGATCTTAAAATATATGGCTACTTAGGGGTGATAAGTTCACCATCAACCCCTAACTTCAGGTAGCCAATGCTAAGACACCTCTGGGTGATGAACTAGCCTGTGTGGAGAAGGGTCAGGCCAGAGAGGCCCATTCCTAGAAGCCCACACAGAGTTCCAGCACTGTCCCGAGGAAGGTATTAGAGGCCTCAAGTCAAATATCCCCCAACAAATTGTGTACTCGCAGGAGGATTGCCATGAGTTTCAGGGACTATCTCCAGCATGTTCCCTCCACTGAAGAACCCTATAAGAGGAGGGACCTGTGAATCAATCCACTGTCTACATGATCTGTCCCCACTTACCTCTCTCATGTCACCTCGCTTCCATCTCACTCTACTCCAGCCCTGCTGGCCCCTTCGCTCTTAGCAACAAATACTAAGCATGCGCCACTCAAACTTTTGTACTTGCTCTCTCCCTTGCAGGCAGTGCTCTTCCCGGGGTATACGCAGGTGACCTCCCTCATTTCTTTTAGGCTGCTGCCAATCCTCTGGATCATAGCACAGCCACCCCCCTGCCCCGCACTCCCCATGCCCATCCTTCCTACCTGGCCTCATCCATCTTTCCATCACATCACCACCTGTCATTCTCTGTCTTATGTACTTATTTTCTGTCTCCTCCCACAGGAATATAAGCTCTATGGTAGTCAAGGAATGTGTTTTTTTCCTGTTAGATCCCCACTGCTTAGAACAATGCCTGGCACATAATAGTTTTTTAATAATTACTTGTTGAATGAATGAATGAAAAAAATAAATCGTTGGTCCTTTTTTTGGTATTAAACTGCTTTAGCTTTATTTAAGGAAATAGGGCCTTCAAAACAGATTTACACAGTTACATATTTGAATTTTAAGATCCTTTAGATACATTATTTTGGAATGAATATATATATCCATATATACATATATTCACATTATATAAATTCACACACTAATAAATGCATATATTATATGGATATTATTCACTTTTTTATATAAGGGATTTTTAAAAATATAATTTACCTACAGATCTCACCACAATATAGTAGCGATTCCAACAAGTGAGTTAACCTACCCAAAATTACATGATTAGAACTTGGCAAAGCTGGAATTCAGCCCAGGGCTTTCTTACTCCATGATCCGTGTTTCCACCATGCCCTACAGTCCTAACTGGTGCCATTCCTAACATGTGTTGACAGTTAGGTGCTTATCATGCTTAATAACTTACACAGTATTCTTTTTATATAATTAAGCTTAATTTACTCTACCATTTATTCTTTCTTAAATCATTAGGCCATGCCTTGAAAAAAAAAAAATGTTCAACTGTGTAACTAGCCAAATCAATGTTTATAAAAAATAACAAAATTAATTGCTTCTATAAAGTTCTTCCTTCCAGAATAGACCCAAAAGATCACAGTAATAGTAGGTAATAAAACAGCAACAACCACAAACCTCTGCTCACCTGATCAGCCCTCGGTACATAATATATTCACACCATCTGTCTTGATCTGTGCTGTCAATATCCTAAATAAAGAACAGAGGAGAGAACGTTTAAAGCATAAAAAACAATGCTCTACTCTGAATTGCCAAGAAAATGTGTGAACGACAGTAATAAATATGCATTTTGTGCACGCTGTTTTCTCTGCCTCACTCCTAATGATCCGTTAAGGTCCAAATTATTTATTCATCCTACAGATACTTCTGGAGCACCTCCTAGGTGCCCAACTAGGCTCTGCACTGGATGCTGGGGGTGCAAAGGTGAAGGTGGGCGAAAGAGAGGGGCGGGCAGGCAGGCAAATCAGCAGCACAGGGGCCGGCTCCCTCTGGCTTTCCAGGTCTTTCACACCCAGCAACATTTACCGCATCCTCCTCGGTCATGCTATGCAGTACTTTGTACACACCAGCCACACCCTTCTGTACAGTTGTTTATAGGTCTCAACGCTCCCTTTGCCGAGCAGAGGAACTCTTAATCACGTTGGCTCCCTGGTACTTAGCATGAAGCCTGGCATGTGGCAGGAGCTCAATCTGAGTTTGTTAAATTGAATCATTGGAAATAAACACATTTGGGGAGTAATCATGAGTCTTTTTGATGTCGAAAGCTTAAGACCAGTGTTATTTTTCATCAGAGAAGCAGAACATAAAACATTGTTTTTCTGTAATGTTCTGGGAAAACCCTAAATGTGGAGCTTTTATACTGAAGAAATTTCCATCTTCTTCTTTTTAAAGAATCCTATAAATAAAAAATATACCTGACTCGATCATTTCTCAATTTTACTATTAAAATTTAACTTAAAACAGGGTTTTAAATCACTAAAAGAAAACATAATTTATTATCTATTTTTTAATTTTTTTCATAAGCTTAGTGGTGAACACATGGATGCTTGTTAATCTTTACTATGACTTACATCTCACACTCACATACCCACATATACATGCCTTGGCATACATGGAAAAATGATAATACATTTTTTAAAATTAAATTTTAAAATGTTAATGATGAAAAAAGCAAATAAATTGAAAGAGTACTGTCTGGTTTACCTTGGAAAGAAATAAAAATTTAGTCATTTAGCTGTAATATACAGGGAATAATAAACTATGAATATGTTTAACTGTCACTTTTTTATTAGATTTTAAAAAGATGCTGTCAAATTTTAAGGCTGCAGAATTCAAATACTCATTTCTTAAAGAGAAAAATCTGTTCATCCAAGCATTTATGATTAAAACTCCTCTCTGCATTAATAAACTTCCTAATAGAAAAAGCTATTTAAGAATCCACTGCCAGTCTTGACACAGCTTCTGACCATGATAGTGGTAACCAACAGAGGATTAAATACCAAATAAAATTCCTCTTCCTTAACACCATCCACATCCCTTACACACACACGCACACACACACTGTAAGAATTCCTTCTCTTATTAGGATGCATTTTTTCCTTAGACTTGCCAAATACTGTCTTGTCTAATATTCTTTTGTGCTTTAGAGACCATGTTCTTAAACAATTATCTTACCTGATTTTATGCATACAGCCAGATACATATAACACATATACATAGCTACCACTCACCAAGTGCCTCGTACATACAAGACTGAGGGCTCTGCAGACATTATCTTATATTTCATCCTCATAACCACCCTGTGATACAACAGATATGACTATCACCATTTTACAGATGCGGCCACTGAGGCCAGGAAATTTTAAATAACTTGCCCCCAGGTCACACAGCTGGTAAATGCGGCCCCAGTTGGACTAGTGAGACCACATGGAGAGAGAGGCCCGGCCAACAACGAGCAGCAACTGATACAGCCTCTGTGACCCCACACTCGCCAGGATTTCCTTTTGTTCTTCTGGCCTCTCCTTAATCTCCCTTCTGAGGTAATTCCCCTTGTCTTCCCTCACCATCACTCCCACGATAGCCACTTTAAACGTAGCCTTATCAGGGGTTTTCTCTGACCTTCCTTTCACAATTCTCTAACTTAGTGTCCTCCACTTCCGTGGTTCCCGTGATCACACAGACGGTGGCAGCAACTTAATCTGTATTTCTAGTCCTGACTGCCCTCCTCCATTCCAAAGCTGTATAGCCAGCTGCCCGTTGGACGTCCCCATCGATAACCCACAGCTGCCTCGACTCAGCCTGGAGCTGGACTCACTGTCATCTTGGCAAGACTCTTCTTCCTTCAGTGTCCTCTTTGATAACGTCGCCATCATAAACCCTCTGACGGAAGCTGAAATCAGGAGTCCGTCTTGACTTCACTTCCGGCCTCATCCATCGTCACCAAGATTCACTCCTCTCCCCAATATCTGACTGCCTTCCTCCCCAAGTTGTAGTATTTTTTTTTTAAAGATTTTATTTATTTATTTGAGACAGAGAGAATGAGAGACAGAGAGCATGAGAGGGAGGAGGGTCAGAGGGAGAAGCAGACTCCCCGCCGAGCAGGGAGCCCGATGCGGGACTCGATCCCGGGACTCCAGGATCATGACCTGAGCCGAAGGCAGTCGCTTAACCAACTGAGCCACCCAGGCGCCCCAAGTTGTAGTATTTTTAGCTGTGTGCATATCAAGATTTCACAGTGAAGTCCCGACCTTCTGTACATCCAGGTGTGGCCATGTGACTAAATTCCAGTCAATGAAATGTAAGTACCCGTGTTGGAGGTCTGTTTCCTGGCATCTGCCTTTAGAGAGAACTTGCCTGTGCTCTTGGCCCCTTCTTTATCCCTTCCTCTGTCTTGCTAACTAGAGCATGGATGCTGCCATCGTGGACCATGTGGCAAACTTGGGAATGGAGGCTCTGTGAAGTGACGCCCAGGACAGAGGAGCACATTCCTGACACCACGGAGGGCACCAATACTGGAGTACCTGCCCAGACCTTTACATAAAGGAATTCATTTCTCTCCTATTTAAGCCACAGTGGGAACCCTCATCACGCCATGCTCTTTCTCATCTGTTCTTCCAAGCACGTGGTAAAAGGGGTAAGGCTTTTTCTCCGCAAATATCTCAAGACATGAAGTTGAGAACAAAAGGTAAAGGGCCAAGAAATCCACTTAGGGCATAATGAACTAGTACAATTATATTTCTTCTTATCAGTTAATGCATTTAGCATTCCAGTGCACATATGGCTCAAGGATTTGATTTGTGTGTCAGTTCCCCAGAGCATGATCATATCTGGGGACGCTGACAAATTGAGGTTTTGCATCCGAACAGGTAAGGAGTAATTCCGTTAGTGAGGCCCTATATGGCTGGTCAGCCAGCCTCTCTGTATATTTCATTCTATCCTTTACTCTCAAACATCATAATTAAGTTGCATAAGGTAGCAGATTATATTTCCTAAACTTGGCTACAATAACTCACTTTCCATATGGTATTCTTATAATGTGACTTTGATACTCCTCCCATGGAGAGATGGGATTTCTGTTTCTCCCTCTTGAATGTGAGCAGGCTTCACGCGATAGCACAGGGCACACTCTAACTCACAAGGCTAGGCCATACAAGGCAATACAACTTTGTCCTGGTTCTCTGTGGGACACACGCTGAGAACCCAGCCATCTGCAGGGAGGAAGCCCAAGTTAGCCCATGGAGAGAAACCAGGACCCTGCACCCAAAGCCCCAGCTGAGCTCCTGGTCAACAACCGGCACCAGCTGGCCACCTGGGAAGCATCTGCAAAGTGGATCCTCCAGCCCCCGGCTGAGCCACCCAGCTGTGTGAAGCAGAGATGAGCTATCCCCTCCCGGCCCTGTCCAAATTGCAGATCCAGGAGCCATTGACGGTTGCTGTTGCTTAAAGCCAGTATGTCTCTTGGTTTTCTATGCAGCAGTCTATAATCAAAATACATATTAAATTGTTGCATTGGGGTTTTTTTTAACATGAAGAAGAAACATTTTACTTAAGAAATCAGAAATCCTATTAAGATTATGTTACCTTCACATTGCCGTGTTCGGTGAGCTGTATATAATCTCTGGAACCAGGAGCTGAAGTGATATATCCCAGGAATATCACTTGACCAGAGCTCCTTTTCAGTAGTTTTGAAACAGCAATTGCCTGAAGTTCCCTGTCAAGGTCATCTCTAAAATGTAAAAATGTACTTCTTTATTGTATTTGCAAGACAATTTTTTAAAAAGTACTAGTACATACCTTCCTATGGTTCCCAAAGAATATCTTCACACAGTACACAAACCCCGAGTAATTCCTACTTGGATAAATAACTTAATGTTATGCAAATGAACAAGACAGAGACACAGTGCTTTGGCTGGGCAGGCTGACAAACTGGATTAAGAACATGATCTTTCCCCACAAATCAGCTGAAGTCAAGTTGATTTAAGTATCTATTCAAAAACAGTATTTGCTCAATTTTTCACCAGAAGGAATCGCATCAGTAATCTAAGACCTAACCACCGTATTACAGCTAAAGAATAGTAGGTAAAAAGTAATAATATAAAATAAAATAAAATAAAATTTAAAGAGAGCCAGAAATACTGGTAAGAGGGAAAATCCTAACGTTCACAGAGCACACCAGGCTTATGTAACCCACTCAGCTCCATCAACCGAACACTTCCTAAAAGCCTCCCTGGCTCTCCTGGTCAAAAGCTGGCTAAACATGATGCTTTTATTGGGCTAAGCATTGTAAGTGTGTAACAGATAATTAGGTAGGTACATCATGCTTTTGAGAGGTTTACAGTCAGTTTGGGGAAAAACAGGGATATCACATTTGACGTGATCCAGCCAGGAAAACTGAAACCACTCTAGGTGTTTTAAACAGGCTGAATTTAATATAGGAAATTGGTTACCTGGGTGATGGGAAGCAAAACAGGAATCAGTGAGGCAACCAGAATTTCGCAACAATGAGAAACCAGTAGCACTGGTCGGGCTGGAGGGGCAACAAGAGATGATACACCCAGAGTCTGCACTCCCACCGCCCTGACTGGTGGGAGATGGTGCTGGGGCCACCTAAGGAGCAGTTAGAGCCACAGGAGAGACTCGGCTGCTGCCAGAGACAGCAGAGAAAGAAGAAAGAAAAAAAAGAGAGCGAGAGAGCATGAGAAACACCTTGTCTTCTCTCTTCCTCCAGCCCTCCAGCCTTGCACTAATGCCTTCCATGGGCTAAACCTATCCAGGAGCCAGAAAGCAGCAGACTCTGGGAAATGTGGTTCCCTGCAATGTTTAGCCAAGAGGGAGACAAGCCAGGAATGGATCCAACAGCAAACAGGCAGTAGAACTCACATAGGCATTTATAGAGACAGGTAGCTAATAATGACTTAAGCAAAAACAAAACAAAACAAAAACCCAAAACAAAAAACAAATCATGACAAAGACAGAGATGACCAAGAACTGAACTGAGATTGGAGAAACGTCACTGAGGTAGGATCTGAAGACAGAATTAAGCCTAGATAAGAATGTACAGACAGCTGAGTACTATTAAAAGATGTCTTAAGAAATAGAAGAGTGAAAGAATGACCATTTGTTAAACATCTTTGACACCGAACATTCACAATAACTGGAGAGGCAGGCATTAGCTCTATTTTTAAATGAGGCTAAGGACCATGCCTATGGTTATTTTCTAACTTCCATGTTCGGATCTGTTCTCAGCCCTTCTCTGTGTCCTGAGAGGCTCACGCATGCAGATTTCATCTCCTGGCTCTCTCTTTTCTGCTGATATCCAGTTAGGTTTGGCCAATTGGAGGCACCAGTAGGAGATAAAAAGGTGGGAGGAGAGAGAGGTTTGAGTATTTCCTCCCCAGTAGCTGCACTCTTTATGCTTCATGGCCCCTCTTCCCAACTACTGTAGTATCTCTTATCTGTTGTTTTGACCCTTCCGACATCTTGGTGAGCAGATCCTCAACTAGGTCTGTAGTGAATTCTGTTCCTTCTGAAGCACACAACTGGGATTCAAATCTAGTCAAGAGAATTCCAAGGTCACTGTACCACAGATAGTGTTTTCACGCAAATATATTTTAGCAATATATTATTGGGGGAAAAAAAATCTATGAATTTGGTTTCACATTTTCTCAGGAGATAAATTTCATCCAGTGATAATAATAAAAATAAATAGTATATTGGGGTGCCTGGCTGGCTCAGCTGGAGGAGCATGCAACTCTTGATCTCAGGGTCATGAGTTTGAGCCCCATGTTGGGTATAGAGATTAAATATTTTTTTAAAAAATAGTATATGGGGCGCCTGGGTGGCTCAGTTGGTTAAGCGACTGCCTTCGGCTCAGGTCATGATCCTGGAGTCCCTGGATCGAGTCCCGCATCGGGCTCCCTGCTCGGCAGGGAGCCTGCTTCTCCCTCTGACCCTCCCCCCTCTCATGTGCTCTCTCTCTCTCATTCTCTCTGTCTCAAATAAATAAATAAAATCTTTAAAAAAAAATAGTGTGAGTATCAAGAAAGGAGAGGAAAGAAGTGGGGGAGGGAGTGAGAGAGAGAACAAATTTTATGTTTCCTTACCTGTTAGTATTTGATCAGCCCAATAACCCTATAATGTGGGCTGGAAAAAATAATTTTATCCAATTCAGAAACAAGAGGACTGGAACCCACTGAGGTTATCTTACAACAGGACCAAAATTATAACTACAGACTACAAGTTCTGCACTCTTTCTTCTTTGTATACTTATGATGTTATAAGGAAAAAAAAAAGTGGTGATTAACTGGTGACTCAGTTAATTGCAGAAAATAACATTAATTTTAGTTACAGTGTACACCTAAATGCTTCTAAGGAATGCTGCTATTTCCTATTTATTGGTGGTAAAGAGGTATTTGTGTAGTTGGTAATTTAAAAAATCTTGTTGAATCAGCTAATAACGTGCAGAAGCATTCCATAATTCACTCCTAATATGACTTCCTGTTTGCATGCCATAATCACTAGAAAACGAAGTCTCTCAATATTTATTCACACTAGGAATTTTTTATCTAGTATTGGAGAAAACAAAGGCAAATAGAAACATGTAATGATGGCTTCTCAAATTATTCAAAGGATGACCGTCTTCGTCACCTGCTTCGGGGAGGCTACGGCGTTCACCGAGCTATGACCGCACCTTGCTCTGTGCCTGGAACACGGCAGACGCTTGATCTGTGTTTGATGAATCGGTTCTTTTTTAAGCTGCCCGATTAACTGAGCACTTACTGTACTCCTGTACTTTGCATGAGATACTATCTCATTTTTTTTAACTTCAATGTTTTAATATGAAATACAAGTACAAAACATTGTACGAGTGTATGTTGTACTACATGGAGATGGAATAATACATTTTTTATCAGAATCTGTATCACCCAGTGTAGCCACTGGACCAATGGTACTATCTCATTTAAATCTCACATTCAGAACCCTATGACATCAGTAGGATCACTGCCCCTGATTTACAAATGAGAAAACTGAGGCCCGAGGCAATTAAATAACCTGGTGAAGGATACACCTTCAGTTAGGGTTCAGACCGACTGTGTGATTCCACGTGCTGGAAGTCCATGCTTTTAGCCACCCAAATACACTGCTTCCCTCCCGGAGTTACAGCTCCTCAGTACGTGTTCGCTCGCATCGTTACTGCTGTTGTCACTGTATGTGTGTGTGCATGCACGTGTGCGCGTGCGCATGTGTCATTAATCCAGCGAATAAGTGAGAACATGTGAAAGGTGTGGCGTTGATTAGAGAGCTTTAAATATGTGGTTGATAGAAAGTTAGAAAAGGTAATCCTTCCCTCCTCTTTTCCAAGCACGTTCTGAGGGCTCTCTTTAGTCTTCTCTTTCAAGTCTATTCTTTACATTTTGGAGGTTGGAAGGAGTTAAAGGGGGCAGGGGGGAGAAAAGCAAAGGAAAAATGGGAAGGGGTATATTCAGCTGTTTCTTAGGTTAAGACCTTGCAACTTTAAACACAGAAGTGCCTGTTTTATTTTTATTTTTTTATTTTTTTGTGCCTGTTTTTTAAAAGCCAAACCCAATGTAAGGTCAGTGGAATGGTTTTTGAATATCTGTACTTGCTACATGAAAATTATTGAGAGAAAAAGAGACATTTCTTTAAACAGCTTTTTAAAGCAATATGGACCATCAGCAAGTATCATCTGTCCTCTAAACACCCTTCTTATTTCTAAAGAGACAAGCAAGGGTCCAGTGAGCAAATGGTTCACATTATTACATTTGGATGGTTTGTTTATGTTACTAAGCTCTGACTTAGTTCAGAAGATATTCAGGTATGCCTTCACAGATCCACATAATGCTGTGAGAGAACCAGAAAATAAGGGCAGCAGACACACTCGTCTTGTTTAGGTGAAACTTACAGCACAGCAGTGTTGTTCTAATGTTCTGTATGTTACGTTAAAGCTTTGTGGCCTCTTATCATTAATGTGGACAGAACCTATATGCCCTGTTTTATAGCACTTTATGTTAGTATTTTCCATTGTTATTACAGAATGTTTAGCCTGACAGAGTATAAATTATATACTTTTATCTTTACTTTTATGATATATAGTTGGTATTATTCATGATTTATTCAGGACGAAGTCACTGGTTGTAAATGTTATCCTTTGGGGATAAAAGTCATTCCCCATTCCTCATGTCCCCTTACAGAAGGACTTGCTTAGAAAACCATGTCTGGCCTCTCTCCCTCACCTTTTACTTTTTGGGAGGACTTTTCTAACTAGTTGGCAGAATGAACTGGGCAGGCTTGTCTCAAATCCTTCCTCTCTCTTCTCCTTGGAACCTGTTAGCTTGCAGACAGGGTGTTTCTGGCATATTCTGTCTACCTAGGGGAGATTTTGACGGGGCAGACTCTGCTCCTGCTGGTAGGTCTGCTGCTTTGGGGGAGTCAGTTTCCTGTATTGTTGCGGGGGATGTATCAGCAGGTCCACGTGGACACACTTAAGCCATGTCGCCCACATAGGTTTATCAGAATTAAGAGATATTTTGATCTCCCTGCCAGATTCCCCTGCCTACCCATCAGTGGACTGTGAAAACACGAGGGCAAAGGGAATATCGTTTAGTACCCTCGAATCCCAACAGTAATAATCCTGTAGGAAAGGGAAATTTCCTTTTTCTGTCGTCTGGTTTAGCATGTGGTCCCAGGTATGAGCCATCTCTGAGCTGGGTCTGCCTAATGCCTCACTGCATGACCCTGTCCGACAAGTCATCTACCCTCTCTCAGTCTACAGTCTGTATCTGTAAAATGGGGCTATAATGGTCCTGTGTACAATAATGCACTTAGCACCTGCTCAGCCCCTGCTGGCTCACACAGCCCTCGTTGCTGCCCTGTACCATCACTAAGGACCGCCCGCATCTCAAAGGTTTCCATGCCTCATTCTTAAAACCGGCTACATAAGGAAAAATACTTTGGGAGAAAAAAAAAAAAAGGTCAAGGCATGGAAATCAAAGTAACGTACTAATCATATTTCTTGGCATTCGGGTTCTACTAGAAAGACCAAATAAACGCACTCATGATTCCCAAAGTGTGTCACCACAAAATCCACCAGTTTGTCCGAGATGTTAACGGTCAGTGTGATGGCTGGTGCAATCTCGCCCTCTGGTGACGGAAGGAGGTGATGCTCTGATTTCACAATTGGGTATCGTGACAGAACCATAATCCTGCATTGGAATGAAAAGAAACACGTGCATCACCGTTGGTCCCACCATATCATGGAGACAGGACTAAACACAGGTGCTAAAAAGGGATGTGTCGCACTCCAAGCAAACCACTGAGGGCCATTCAGAGCACTAATGCGCAGTCAGCTTGATAGGGCAATAAGTCTCTGCTATTTAGCATGTCTCGCTGTGTCGCTAAGCACAACGCCATCAACTCTGTTTTAATAAATGCTATGGAGGGGCGCCTGGGTGGCTCAGTTGGTTAAGCGACTGCCTTCGGCTCAGGTCATGATCCTGGAGTCCCGGGATCGAGTCCCACATCGGGCTCCCTGCTCAGCGGGGAGTCTGCTTCTCCCTCTGACCCTCCCCCATCTCATGCTCTCTCTCTCTCATTCTCTCTCTCAAATAAATAAATAAATAAAATCTTTAAAAAAAATAAAAAAAAATGCTATGGAGACACAAATAGGGCAGAATTAGTAATACACAAAATCCATCTTCCTTGCATTGTTACTCTGGCAACATATTTGCATAAACAATTCTAACATCAATCAGCCCATTTCACAATGTTGGAAATGTCTTGCCAACAAGGACACGGAGTAACAATTCACAAAACTAGCAATTACGAACTGTCTGATAAAGATATGAAAACACGTCCTACCTTACTCCAAGGCCAAGAGCTACATCCGAAAAGGATGAGCAGAGCTCAGACCTCAGCCAGCTCTCTTTCCCGGCTGCATGCACTCTCTCTCTGGCCCCCGATGGAGCCCCTCCAGCAGGAGCATCTCTACAGTGATGCTACCTGAATCTGCATACATGTCCAGCTTGTCCTGTCCCACTTGGCCCTCCAGGCTTCACACAACTTTCTACTGGACGTCGCTTAACTAATCCAGAGGCGTCCCAAATTTAGCACAATCCAGCTGCTCTGCCTGGTCGGTCCCATCCCATTAAACAGCGTCATCTCTATCAGGTATTCAGGGAAAAAACGTCCATGTTGCCCTTGTCCCTTCCCGGCCCCTGACACCTAAGCCATCAGTAACTCCTGTCAGCTCTGTTCCAAAGCAGTTCCTGAATGTGCCTCCTCCTCTCCATGTCCGCAGCTCCCTCTCTCATAACTCATCTGTGCTGGAGCACCTACCTCGTCACCTGTCTCCCTGCTCGCTCCCACCCTTTCCCCCAATAAGCTGTTCTAGGAGCAGCCAGAATGACCTTTTTATTTTTTTATTTTTTTTTGAAAGATTTTATTTATTTATTCATGAGAGACAGAGAGAGAGAGGCAGAGGGAGAAGCAGACTCCCTGCTGAGCAGGGAGCCCGATGCGGGACTCGATCCCAGGACGCTGGGATCATGACCTGAGCCAAAGGCAGACACTCAACCATCGGAGCCACCCGGGCGCCCCCAGAATGATCTTTTTAAAATGTAACGCAGGGGCGCCCGGGTGGCTCCGATGGTTGAGCATCTGTCTTCTGCTTGGGTCATGATCCCAGGGTCCCGGGATCAAGCCCTGCATCCCTGCTTGGCAGGGAGCCTGCTTCTCCCTCTCCTTCTACTGCTCCCCCTGCTTGTGCTCTCTCACTCTCTCTGTCAAATAAATAAATAAAACCGTATGTATAAATAAATAAATAAATAAATAAATAAATAAATAAATAAATAAAATGTAAATCAGATCAGATGGCTCCCATCTAAAAACCAGCCAATGGTTCCCCATCAAAACTGAATTACTCAGTCCTCAGCATGGACTATGTGGCTCTCTAAGATCAGGGGCCTGCCCTTGACCTCATTTCTTACCAGCTCCCCCTCGGTCCCCACATTCAGGCCCACCAAGCCTGATCCTGCCTTGAGTCTTTACACTGGCACTTACCTCCTCTTCCCAAGGCTAGATCCTGGGTCCTTTTCATCATGAGATCTTCACAGAGACCTTCCTGACCATCCCCTGTCCCTCCTCCCCAGTCACTTTCCTCTTCTACATAGCGCTTACCACCACCTCAAATTCTTATTTATCTCCGTGTGTGCATGGTTATTTTCTGTTTCTTCACACAAGGATGTAAGCCCCACGCACACAGCATCAGGTCAGACATGCTTAGTGCTGTAACCTCAGCTCCTACACTGAACAGTTTATAATGCTGAAGAACAGAAAATATCCAGCAACAGGGACACCTTTCAAACAATCATGGAATATGCATATCTTCCACACTTCCTCATCCCCCCTTGGAAGCACCCTGGAACATACTCATAGGACTAAGGTACGACATCAACTTTCCACTCGAAGCCCATGCTGCCTGGTCTTCGGGGCTATGTTCCCAAGGTACACTCACCCCCAAGTGTGATCCCTCGTGCTTGGGCCAAAGTCGGTATAGAAACCCAACTTCTCCCCTAACCACATAGTTAAGTCATTGTTCCCAATATAGGGCTTAGAGGCATCACTCTCCAGAATTGTTATGAAATCTGCACCTATTCAGGAAAAAAAAAAAATGCACGCAGTGAGTAACCACAGCTGTACAAAAACAATTAGCAAAACTTTATTCTAACTTAAACCCTTTGCCTTTCCTCATAAATCAAAAAAACAAAGTAATTTCTGAGTCACTAAAATGAAGCCGATCAAACCTGAGCTATAAAAGGAGTTTTCCCATGTTTAGAATGTAATTAAAACATGGGACACCTTGAAGAAATGCAGGAAAGGATAAAAGCATAATTTCTAAGTTTTCAAATATTTTTAACATCTTTCCCAAAATTTCAAATAAGCATAATGCCTTTCTCAAATATCCAACTGATGTTCAGAAATAATAGAGTGGTATGCAACAGCATTTTACTCCTGGGAAAACACCTCCATGGTATTGGCACAGAAGTGTCCTGGTTTTGTCAGACCCTGGCCAGAGGTGCCTCAGAGGCCTATAATCAGGATGAAGAGCCATGGAAATTTCTCAGTGGCATTAGAATCATACAGACCCCCAGCAGTTTCTCAGGAGACATGGTTATCATGAGGATTAACCAGAACAGTTTAGCTCTTTCCATATCTTGCTCCATGCTCCACGAAGTTGATCTAAGAACCAAATACCCACATCTTTGACAGGATGCTTCATACAAAGATGAACACCCCAGGGCCCAGAAACTTAAAAACTGGCCCTTCGGCTTTTGAGAGCAATCTGCTTCACAAATGAGCATCACTCTGACCCATTCTGCCTTTTAACCCAACTGCTTTCTGATCCCCAACAGTGGGTCCCCAAGCAACCGAAGCCACCAGGAGGAGTATCTCTAAAAGCAAAGGCATGACAAGAACTCCCTGCAGATACTCAGTATGAGGCTTTGTTCAGAATCAACTGAATTAATTGCTCTCAAAGACAGATGTGGTTAGAGAAACTTAATCCTTCTGCAGCTGCCTACCCGAGTAAAGCCTTTTTAAGAGATTAGTTTATGACCCAGCAAACCCTCCTCCTATTACTTATGATCTTGTTCAAAATAAAAATAACAATAGTAGTTTCTCAAAACCTGGAACTAATTCCAGTAAAAGGCTTACCTATTTGATTGAGTACTTGAGCCGATCTTTCTAGACTGGACCATCCTTCGTTGTCGTAGCCAAACCTAAAAGGCCAGATGGCGGCAGACACCTCTGTGGCTGGTGCCTGAGGAATAGTTTTAAGGGTAATTTCAGATGACTGTGAACAATGGCAGTTTTCTCCACCTCTCTACCAAAATTTGTATTTCAGCAAAAGAATTTTCTTCTTAAACTTGCCCATATTTAATTCATAAAAATAAGGAGCTCTTTGCTAGATGATATACTCATAATAAATCTTCTGTGAACTTCTATCTTAAGCTTGGAAGTTAGGAGGAATATTTGGAAAGTGAGCATTTATAACGAGCATTGTTTATAATAGCAAAAAATTAGAAGCAACCTGGCTGTCATTTCAATAGGAAAATAGGAAAATGGATGAGTAAGTGGTGTCACATACATAAATTGGAACATTACACAGCCCTAATAAATGACCTAAGGCTGCATATTTCCATATGGATGAATCTTATAAAGGTGATTTTAAATTTTAAAAAGTAAGTTGCAAAATGTATATGTCAGATGTCATTTAGGTGAAGTCAAAAACGTGGGAAAACAATATCCTCTGGGGCTATATCACAGGTAGTAATAAGATAAAGAAATGTATGAAAATGATAAACACCATATTCTGGATAGAGACACCCTTGCACAGGAGAAGAATGAGATCACAGAGGGATACAGAGAGTCCTTCAACAGATCTATAAAGCAGTCTGCTGCCTCTGAGTTATACATGTTGTTACTCCCCTACTGTCCGGGCAAGGCCAGCGCTCAGGAGCACAGCCCCCTCTCAGACTTCATCTTTTGGGTCCATGGGCTCAGTCAGACAATCACTGCCCAACCCTAACCATCCATCTCAAATGAATACCTAACTGATCTATAACAGGGATCCTGAGAAAGAGTATGGCTAGATCAGAACAAATCCACCACCACAACTGGAAAAGCAACTTAGAGTGGACCATACAAGTTCAGACTGGGAGAAAGATAAGTAGCAACCTCTTTGTAATGGAGGGCCGCTACGTAACATAAACAGCTCAGTGTGCTAACCAGCCTGGTAAGCTGGGCCTTTCATCCTTATACAGGAAGGATTATTCAGTGGAGTGAATATCATATAAAGAGAATGGAACCATCAACAGGGATTTCAAGAGGCATGATTATATTCATCAAGCTATCCCTTTTCACATAACTCTACAACTATAATTAATTAACTCTGGATTTCATCACTCCAAAGCCTGTTATTCTCTCATTCTTCCCGTCAATAAATGCCATCACCCTCGATCCAGTTGCTCAAGCCAAAGGCATAAAAGTCATTCTTGATTCCTTCCTTCTCCCCATCCAGCAACATCGAATCCATCAGCAAACCCTATCAACTCCACTTTCAGAATACCACCGACTCTGGAACAACATGGGAGTTAGGGGCGCTGTCCCTCTGCACAGTTGGAAATCCATGTCTAACTTTTGACTTCCCAAAACCTTAATTACTAATAGCCTACTGTTGATTGGAAGCCTTACCAATAACGTAACAGGTGATTAACACACATTTTGTACATTATATTATATACCGTATTCTTACAATAAAGTAAGCTAGAAAAAAGAAAGTGTTATTAAGAACATCATAAGGAAGGGAAAACACATTTACAGTCCTGTACTCTAGTTGATACTGTAAGTTTACATCATCTGTTTACAATACGAATTGTGTATCAGTACCTATATCTCTGTAGATGTTACATGTAGTACCAACAGCAGACATCAAACATGAAAAGATAATGTGAAAAAGAACTTCATATTTACTTGCAGCTATAACAATTCATGCATTGATAATGAAGCAGCAGCAATATGTTTGTTTTACGGTAGCCTAGTTTAATTGATATGATGGCCTCACGGTAGCCTAGCCCATACACTGATGAATGAATCGTCATAAAATTTTTATGGCTTACAGTATTACAGTCATAATTATAATGCAGTCTTGGAAACACTGTTACACTTTAAAAAAAAAACTTCCCTGTAATGATAGACTGATACACAGTTTCTCCAATTATGAGAGAGAGAGGCATACTGTACAGTAATATAATTCTTTGAAAGTAGAGTTATAAAACAGTAAGAAAACGAAGATGTTATTACATTAAATACACTCACCTGATGCCTACATAAGGATAGGCTGTCCACTTCCGTATGAGTCTTGCACATGCTGTTCTATGCGATGAATATTAGGTGACAACGCCGATGATGACCCCAAACGTCTCCTACAGTTCTTGTCACATAGGTAATAGATTTTCACACCAACACACACACATACACAACAGATAGATTTATTAAGTGTACGGCATGATGGTTATTTACAATTCATGAAGAGGAAGTGGATCATCATAAAGGTCTTCATCCTCATTGTCTTCACGTCGAGTAGACTGAGTATGAGGAGGAAGAGAAGGGTTGGTCTTGCTGTCTCGGGGGTGCCAGAGGTGGAAGAGGTGAAGGAGAGGTAGGCCCACGCAGTGTAACTTTCTGGATATATACTGTCATTTTTGTCTGACTTTCTTGCTTTTCCATTTCACCAAAAATGTGTCCATATGGCCCAGTCCTTCTTCCACCGTTTGCTTTAGGGTCAGTGCCCTTGTCATAGGAGGGTCCGTGTCCTAAAAGAAATCAAAAGCAGTCTTGCGTAATCAGCCCCCTTCTGCCGGACTGTCTCACGTCAGTCTGTTTTCTGGCACTTCTTCTGCGTCTTGCTCACCGCCTGATACTGCTGCAGAAGCACTCACCTTCATCAGGTCGTCTCCCGTTCATTCCTCTGGTGTGCTGTCTGTTAGCTCTTGAATTTCTCCAAGACTCATACCTTAAAACCCTTCAGCCTCCACCATTTTTGCCATTACCCACAATCCCTTTCGTGATTCCCTTGATTGGCTCTGTCATAAATCCTGTGAAGTCATGTACAGCATCTGGACACAGTTTTCTCCAGCAGGAACGTACTGTCTTGAGCTTGATGGCTTTCATGGCTTTTGCTAAGCAATGGCATCTTCAGTGGTGTAATCCTTCCAGACTTCCATGATGTCCTATCTGTCAGGGTTCTCCTCCATAGCACTGACAATTCCTTCTTAGAGTATTGTGGGTAATGGGCCTGAAAGGGCCATGTGACTCCCTGATCTAGAATCAGAGATGGGGAGGGGGGGAGGAGGAGGGGTTGCAAGCAGACCACTTTGATGTCTTCCTTGCTGAACTCATGGGGTCCTGGGTGGCTGGGGCATTGTCTCCTATCAAAAGAACTATAAAAGGCCATCCTTACTGGCAAGGTACTTTCTGACTTCAGGGACAAAGCATCGATGGAACCAATCCAGAAGAAAGGTTCTCATTGCCCAGGCCTCCTTGTTGTACAGTCAAAAGACTGGTAGCTGGTGTTTACCTTTTCCCTTCAAGGCTCAGGGTGAGCAGCTTTATAGATAAAGAGAGTCCTCATCATAAGCCCAGCTGCATTTGCACAGAACAGTGGAGTCAGCGCATCCCTTCCTGTCTTAAATCCTGGTGCTCGCTTCTTTTCCATACTAATAGATGTCCTTTGTGGCATTTTTTTTCCACAATAGGGTACTTTCACCTGCATTAAAAACCTGTTCAGGCAGATGTCCTTTCGCCATGACTTCCTTAATGGTGTCTGGGGACTCGTCTGCTGCCCCCTGGTGGGCAGAAGCTGCTCCTCCTGTTATCTTGACCTTTTTTTAAGCCAAACCTTTCTAAAATTAAATTCTCCAGCTTTAGATCTTTCACCTTCCTTTTGCTTTGTTGTTATATAAGGATTTCACTTTTTCTCAAGTCATGTTGGTCTATAGGTGTGCCTTTCATACAGCAATCCTGCACCCACACAAAAGGTGCCTTTTCAATATGATATAAAAAGATATTTTGCAAAAAGTGCAGGCGGGTGCACTTCATGCCTGTGGGTGTGGCTGCGGCCACAGCTTCACGAATTCCCTTTTCTTTTTTTACAGTGGTCCTTACACTGGCTTCATTTCTTTCAAGATGCTGGTGACTGGGGCTGCAGGCCCCAATCTATAGCATATCGGGCAATTCAACTTTTTCTTGTCATGATTGTTCTCTGCTCATTGGGAGCCCTTCTAGCATCACTAGTGGTGCTTTGTATGGGTCCCATGGTGTTATTCAAGGTCTATGGTATTATTTACAGTCAAAAATGCATGAGAACCACAAGAGATCACCTTTATTTATTTATTTAAGAGAGCAAGAGAGAGAGCGAGAGGGACAGAACAGGGGGAGGAGCAGAGGGAGAGGGACAAGCCGACTCTGAGCTAAGCTGGACATGGGGCTTGATCCCGTGACCCCAAGATCATGACCTAAGCTGAGATCTAGAGTCAGACACTTAACTGCCTGAGCCATGGAGGCGCCAATCACTTTTTACTGTAATAAGAAATTTACTAGAGAGACGAACTGCTCACCTGGAGATCAGCATCACACAGCATTTGAAACTGATACAACACTTGCGCTCACTGCGATAGCAACAGGAGGTGGCTAGGAAATAATTACAGAAGTACAGTATGTACCACACTTCATTTTATGCAGTTATGATTTAATACTGCATGTTTATGTTTGTTTACATTTCTCTCCCCTACAAATGGTGCCATGTACGGTCTGGGTTTGTGTGTGCAAGTTTTGATACATTTTAACTTTTTATAATAAATTTGTGTATACTATATTAGTAAATGACAAAATAGACTAGTATCTACATATATTTTATGCATTCACAACATACCTTTTTCTGAAATTTTCACTATTTCTAGGTAGTACGGTTTGCCTGCAAGTTTTTTCAAACTGTCACAAATCTCCAAAAAATGTTCCTCCATACTTACTGAAAAAAATCTGCATTGGCGCAGTTCAAATTCATGTTGTTCAAGGGTAAACTATATATTCTAAGTCTATCCACTTCTCTCCAACTCCACTACCTACCGCACCCATCCAAACGTCCACGGTCTTTCTCCTGGACAACTGAAAAAGTCTTCTAACTTCTCTCCCTACTTCTACTCTACAATCCATCCTTCACAGAGCAGCCAAACTGATATATATGTCATGTTCCTTCATGCTCCTGCTGGAAATACTCCAGTGGCTTCCACTGCAAGAAAAATCAAATGAGGATGCCTCACTGTGCTCTGTGAGGCCCTCTATGATAGGACCCTCCCCAGCCTCCCCGTCCCCATCTTCTACCACTCTTCCCCTTACTCACCAAATTTCAGCCACACCAGCCACCCCAGTGGGCCTCACACACACCACACTCATTTCCTCTCAGCCCTGTACACGCGTGCCCTCTGCCCGAATCCTCTACCCCTAGCTCTGTGAGTAACTGGCTTCATTTTAGCTTTCAAGTCTGGACTCAAATCTCATCACGTCCTCAGAGCAGCCTTCTCTAACCACCCAGACCCCGTTCCTCTCTACTTCATAATCCTATTTGCTTCTGAGCAGCCTGATCTAAAGTGATGGTTTTATTTGTTCCTCTGAATACCCTCTTTCTCCCCTACTAGAATGTAAACTCCATGAGAGCAAGGGTCTTGTCCAACTTGTTTACCTTTATACCCCTGGAACCAGGCACACAAGAGACATTCAGTAAGCATTTATCAAATGAATGAATGAATTAAAAAAACAAGTATTAAATCCAACTGCAATTACTCCTTTTGAAAAGAGTCCCTGGCTGACATTAGGTGTCTTCTTCTGACCGACGTTATGTTGCAATAACGACAAGTAACAATTAAAGGACAAAAGAGAGAGACCATATATTGAATTATTTACTTATTAAGGAATAGTTACAAAAAAAGAAAAAAAAGGAACCACTACTGAGTTCTGAATATGTGCCAAACACTTTGTGAGATGCTGGAATTACAAAGGTAAATAAGAGAAGCATGGTCTCTGTCCTCAGCATAGCTTTTTATTTATATGAAAAAAAAATCTTCCTGGTAATACAGAATACTAAAATTCAAAGTTAACCCTCAAATTCTGCTTTAGCCAAAACTGTAACTCTCACTGCATTATGAATCACATCAAACTTCACCAGAGCAGAGGGAAAGCACAACACTGCAACTTACTCTTTCTTCTGCCCATCTATCTAGAGGAGAAAGGGACAGTAAAATATTTTAAACTGTAGACAGCAAGAGAGAAAGGAAAGACAGGAAAATTTCCATGACCCATCAATACATAAGCTACCCATAATCTTCAAATTCAAGAATTATCTATAAGATCGTTTGTAAATCAAACTCTTATATTGTTGCCTTCAGCAGTATCTGCCAAACAGTACAAAAAAGCCCATTATAAAATAGTTCTTTATTTCATAGTTTAGATATGTTAAATCATGGAATGGAAAATATAACTTCATACAACAAAATTATGAGCATCTTGCCTTTAATAAATGGATCTATCCCAAGAACCCAACTTCATGAAATAATTCTATCATGTTATCAGCCTATGACCTAAGGCTTGAAGAGATGGTTTACGGGGCCCTGAAGTCATAAGATGCAGATCTACAGTTCAAACATAATGAAAAGTGTACAAATAGATGCATATGCATACATACCACATAAAATTCTGTATCAGAAGTTTTCCTTACTTACCCCTTTGCCCAATTTCCTCTCATAGGTTTTATGCCGTACTCCTAATCCCAATAGCCCCACACCAACAAGCAGCCACAAAACTAAACAGAAAGAAGAAATAATTGTTTAAAAGAAACTAAGTTTGTCTTTTTAAAAATAATTTTTTTGCAAATAATGCTGTAATAAACATAGGGGTGCATAGGTCTTTTCAAATTCATGCTTTCATTTTCTTTGGGTAAATACCCAGAAGAGGAATTACTGGATCACATGGTAGTTCTATTTTTAGCTTTTTGAAGAACCCCCATAGTGTTTTCCATAGTGGCTGCACCAGCTTGCATAGGTGAATGGATAAAGAAGATGTGGTTTATATATTCACAATGGAATATTACTGAGCCATAAAAAAGAATGAAATCTTGCCACGTGCAATGACATGGATGGATGTAGAGGGAATAATGCTAAGTGAAATAAGTCAGTCAGAGAAAGACAAATACTATATGATTTCACTCATACGTGGAATTTAACAAAACAAATGAACACAGAAAAAAGAGACAAACAAAAAACAGACGAACTCTAGAGAACAAACTGCTGGTTACCAGAGGGGAGGTGGGTGGGGAATGGGTGAAATAGGTGATGGGAATTAAGAATACTCTTGTGTTGAGCACTGAGTAATGGATAGAGCTGTTGAATCATTATACTGTAAACCTGAAACTAATATAACACTGCATGTTAATTATACTTGAGTGAAAAATAATAATTTTATGAAATTATTAAATCTATTAGTCAAGGATTTTGTGCAAAGGAGAAGTCTAATTCCTGGGTTAATTTTCATGTGTGATATGTATGCATTACCCATACTTGCAACTCAGGTTTGTCTGGGTTTTTTAAAGATTTTATTTATTTATTTGAGAGAGAGCAAGATCAAGAGAGATCACAGAGGGAGAGGAAGAGGGAGAAGTAGACTCACTGCTGAGCAGGGACCCCAATGCGGGGCTCGATCCCAGGACCCTGAGATGGTGACCTGAGCTGAAGGCAGATGCTTAACCGACTGAGCCACCCAGGCACCCCTGCGACTCAGGTTTTAAGGGATCTTCCCTGAAAGTGTTCCAAGAACCATAAATATATGCAATAAATAATATCCAAGAAAACAAGTCTCCATGAGCAGAACCCATCAGGGGAAAAAAACCCTGTAGAATCAAACTCACAAATACTTCAGATATTGCAGCTTTTAAAGATTTTATTCATTTATTTGACAGAGAGATACATAGCGAGAGGGAGAACACAAGCAGGGGGAGTGGGAGAGGGAGAAACAGGCTTCCCACTGAGCAGGAAGCCCGATGCAGGGCTCAATCCTAGGACCCTGGGATCATGTCCTGAGCCAAAGGCAGACGCTTAACGACTGAGCCACCCAGGTGCCCCGATATTGCAGCTTTTAGAATCAGAATACAAAATAAGCATGCTTAACGTGTCAAAAAATAAAAGAGGGTATTCAATAGGATGACTAAGAAATAGATTAAATTAATGACTCAGAAAATGTGTGAAGAAATAAAATAGACTTCTAGAAATAAAATTATATAATAAACATAAATAATTGAAATTAGAAACTCAGTGGACAAGAAAGGTAGCAGTAGACAAAGCTGAATAGAGAATTAGTGCAAGGGACAGCTTAAAAACAAAAGTAGATACTATGAAAGTGGTTAAGGGACACGGAGAAGATACTAAGAAGATCCAACACAATCTAACTGGAGTCAGAAAGGAAGAAGAGAAAGAATGGAAAAGCGGCAATATTTGCAGAAATAAAACTGAGAATTTTCCAGTGGTGATAAAAGACATGATTCTTCAGATTCAGAAAGCCCAAACACTAATAAGCAAGAAGGGGGGGAAGATGGAAGGGGCAGGGGCGGGGTGGGAGTCACATCCAGATATATCACAGTAAAACTCCAGAACACCAAAACACAGAGAAATCCTAAGAGCTGCCAGAGAAAAAAGGGACATGATCTCCAAAGGAGCAGAGATTACGCTGACAGCTCACTTCTCAACAGCAAGAACTGAAACCAGATAACAGAACAGTATCTTCAATGTACTGAGAGAAGAAAAAAAAAAAAAAAAACACCCAACTACTAAAAGAATAGAAATTGAAAGTATAATTTCCAAACTAGAAAGGAGAGGATAAGAAAAAAAGAACACCCAATCAACGCAAAAGAAAGCAAGAAGAAAAAGAGGGAGAAATATGCCTAGAGAAGGTAGAAAAAGCAAAAGCAAAGTAAGATGACAGAAATAAATAATAATGCATGAGAAATCACAACAAAACTAGATTACATTTTCAAGCTGAAAGACGAGACTGAAGGTCGAGAACAGGCAAAACAACGGAGGCTGTAAAAAGATCAGTAGTTGCCAGGGTTTGGAGTCTGCTTGAGAGTCTCTCTCCCTCTCCCACTGTCCCTCCCGCTCATGCTCTCTCTAAATAAATAAATAAATAAATCTTTAAAAAATAATGATAATAATAAATGTAATAATAAACTCTGGTGGGGGGTACTGATAGTGGGGGAGACCGTGTGTATGTGGGGTCAGAGGGTATGTGGGGTCAGTGGGTATATGGGAATCTCTATACTTTCTGCTCAAACCAAAAGTGGCTCTAAGAAATAAAGTCTGTTTTTAAAAAATTACACAGAAATGTCTAAACAACTTTGTAAATAAATGGTTCCAAATGCCTCAATCTGATGAGTGAACTAGAGAATTCTGATTCTTAATTCTACTACGGCTACTAATAACAGCAATGGCAACAATAGATAAAAAGACTGTCAGGATTAAAAAACAAACAAAACCTACCAGGTCTTAGTTTTAAGAGATACACCTAAAACATAAGAACACACAAAACAAAACTCTAAATTTCAAAAATGTCCCCAAAATTGTAATACAATCTTTTCAAATTATGATGGAACATATATGAAGGTGTTTACATAATGGTCTTACTGCTTTGTGACATCTCTTTTAGAAATATATTACAATTTTATTTAGCTTAACTGTTTTCTCTTTACACTATAATATTTTGTCTTCTTTATAAAAATACCAAGTCACAGATGATGGAGACCTGTTTTTACACGTCTTTGTATCCTACATAATGCTGTGTAGTTATGGAGCTCATTGTATCCTAATACACTATCTGCAAATGTTATCCTTTCAATAAACATTTTTATTTAATCCAGTCCATTTGAAATTAGTCAGATTGAATAGTAAACTCACTTCACTTCTGAATTTCTAGTTCATCAATATTCTGAATGTTAACATATTTAAGCTCCCCAAAAAGGAGAACAAGAAATGAAATAGTCTGAAATAGAAATAGTTCTAATAAGAACAAAGCATTTTGGAAATTCTACCTGTTAAATAATCTTATCTACATGAGAAATGAAACAAAACTAATACAGAGTATTTGTGGTTGAAATGAGAGGCTGTCAGAGATTTGCTTCAAAGTACTTCACCAAAACCAGTAAGGAAGACAGCTGTTAATAACACTGGCATAATGTTAATAATCGTTGGAACTCGGTGAAGGGTACATGAGGGTTCCTTATACTCTTTTAATTTCATATATGTTTGAAATTTTATTATAATTAAGTACTTTTAAAAAAGAAAGCAAAACTTACAAAGTTTCATGTATTTTTCACTCTTTCTGAAAAGTGCTTTAGGACTATTTTTTGTTTGAAGAAAGTCAAGGCTTTTCTTAGGACCAAATAGCATATTCAGGCCAATAATTAGCATCACTGTCCCTGTTAAGAGAGAAAGCAAGAACATATTACATTTTAATCCAAAAATCCTCCCCATGGTAAATTCCAGGAGCCTAGCTTTCATTTAAATGGACATACCCTGAAAATTCAGCTATTGAGTTAATTTATCTCAGTACCTTAGCAATTACTCTAGTGGTGCTTTTGATAATTGGGATTGATCCTAAGAAATCAGCTAGGTTTCTAGGAACCCTGCTTTAAATGAGAAGACTCCAGCCTTTTCTCTATGAGGAATGTCTTTTCATTTCCTGAGTGTTTCCTTGTTGTTAGGTTGGTAATAGTGTGCTTTGCTGTTGATTTTGCAGAGGAGGGTGGAGTACGAGAGAAAGGAGCCTTTTGAGTCCCTGCTTTAGGGACTGAGTTTTCTGCACTGAAAAGACTCCAAATGCACCAGGTTGAGGAGCACAGGAGGAAGAAACATAGATTCTTAATCCAGCAGTGTTTGTGACAGTAATTCTCGCCTGGGGTGTGGGTGCTCACAGAGGATGCATACTACAACCCACGCTGAGCCATTAGGACCGGCCAAAGAAGTTGAGCTCGGTTTGGATGCATTACAATGTAACTTATATGTAAAGTTTACATCCTTCTCAAGTCCTATACAATGAGAATGGAAACAGAGGTATGACTGAATGATATCTAAATTAGGAAATGTCAAGTAGAAGTTAAGCTTAGGTGGAAGGCTAGCAAAAAAAAAAAATTATATGCAATTCTTAGGAAATAGCAGGAGTAAGCTTGACAATAAATGTATTACTAGTGTCTGATTTACTACAGATTCTCTTCAATTGTATTAAAAGCTATGCTGAACATTACCAACTTGCCTTAGTTTTTGTGGCCTTATCAATATGTCACTCTTACTTTTAAAAAAAAAAGTTCGTTGTATGCAGCTGTAATAAAGCCCTTTCTGCAGTCCCATAAATAGTGAAAAAAAAAAACTCAAAAAGCACATCATTCATAACATTCTAAAGAAATAAACTTATGCTTAGAATGGCTCTTAACTGTTGTTCGTTTTCTCCACATGGCAGACCCCTAAGCAAGCTGGAGTAAGAAAAAAGCAGGGCATTGGACAAGAAGATAGAGCAGGACAGAGTACACACACCTGAAAGAAACCAGAAGAAATACACAGTTCGCAAAGCCAAGATCATTGAAGAGGAAAAGCTGCATATACGTCTCTAAGTGCATGAGAGCATGGGTGTTTACCAGAAATAGCAAATTCTCCAGTTGTTTTTAAACATTTCGTATAATTAAAAAAAAAAAATATCTCCCAAATCAGCCTTTCCTGACAGATGCCTAGCTCAGGGAGTAGAAAAGTTTATGTGAAAATGTACAGTTGCTGGAAAAATACCAAGGGCCCAGGGGAAACTACAGGTAGAATTCTAGACCTCTGTGCAGCACTCACCCCAACTATAATCCTGTAAGTATTTGTCTACTTTTATGTGTGGTATTGTCCCCACTATGCTGACGTTCCAGATGGGCAGAGACTCTATGTCCCTTCAGTCCCCAGCACCTGGCACTGCCTGGGACATACAGGTGCCCAATAATTTTTTTAATGAACAAATGGAAAAATGCATTTGTGAACAAACAAGGACTGAATCCCCTACGGACATGTTTTGTCTCCTCAATTTTTATCCTGGAAGCATCTGACATGTTTTACTCAAACTAAAATGACAGGCGACATTTTATTTGTGTATGCCTGTATTCATCGATAATTTCCTCCTTGCCAGAAGGTGATTTTGAAATATTCAACTGAGCTAAGTTTATGAAATTTTCATTTGGGTACATAGTTTACAACCACTGAAATAGAAAATATTTATTCTGTGACTTGGGAATTTATCATTTAGACTAAGATTCATATATGTAAAATATATTATATTGGCAAAAATATGGTAAATAAAAATCACAGATAAGATTTGGGGGAACCAAAAAAAAAATCACAATTCCTTTTTATATTTATGAGCCAACACTGAAATCGCAACATGAGCACCAAGATCATACCTTTTCCTAACATATCCTGTAATACAACTGTTACATAGTATTTCTTTATACTCTACTATGGATTAAACTTGTTTTTTTTCCTCACAACTAACTTACTTAAAAAGCCTTTGCAGTAATAAATATTACTGAAACTCACTGATGAATTAAGAAATCTTTTAAGTAGTAATTTAGACATTCCTCCAGTTTTATTTTTATCAAGGCAGTCTATTTTAATTAAAAAAAAAAAAAATCATCCTATTTAGCTCCACCAGTCAGATAAAGTGCTAAATCCTAGTCTGCCTGAAGGGTATTTTCAAGTAGTTACTTTAATCCAGACCTTTCAAATATACTCACCCAAAAGCACATCAGATCTCTCTCTAGCGTAGACACCTCCTGGGACAAATTTAAAAGCCGTGCACCATGCACAGAAAAATATCTCTAGAAGATAAAATATCATGGCAATGGTCATGGCTTTCCCAGGGCCCGACCCTGAGCTAAGAAGGTGTCCAAGCACTTGAGGCCACATGGACGCCGTGAAGAGGGCGAGCACACAGCCAGAAACAGCGGCTGCCCACGTGGGCAGGTACAGGAGGCCTGCAGCCGAAGCTGCTCCTGTTTGTGACAGAGAGAAAAAGAGAAAGAATCAGACAAAAAGGCAGAAGAGTCTCTTCCATTTTCTTAAAAAAGAAAAAAGAAAAGAAATAATAGGCTAATAGAAGAAATAGGCTCATATAGAGAAGTTCAGAGCCCGAAGGGACCTCGAGGTCATACTGGTCCGATCTCCAGACCGATGAGCAGCTGAGGTCTAGCGTGGTTAACGTGATTCGCTCAAGGTCACACGGCTAGTTACTTGCAAACCTGGAGACAGAATGTGAGTCTAGTAATTCTCAGTCCAGAGCTATTTCTTCAGGAAGGGCAGGAGAGAAAAAAAGGCATTTTTAGGTTATTTGTGTTAAGATCCTAATAGAAAAAAAAACAAAACTGAAAAAACCTGAAATTATCTGTAATACCAAAAATATGTCCATTTAATTTAACCAGTCAGATCCAGGGGTGCCTGGGTGGCTCAGCGGTTAAGCGTCTGCCTTCGGCCCAGGTCATGATCCCAGAATGCTGGGATCGAGCTCCGTGTCGGGCTCCCCGCTCAGTGGGGAATCTGCTTCTCCCTCTGCCCTTGGCCCTGCTTGTGCTCTCTCACTCTCTCTCTGCTCTCTCTCTCTAATAAATAAATAAACTCTTTAAAAAAAAAAAAAGTAACTGTTTAAAAAAAAATAACAACTAGCCAGATCCAAGACATTAGGAAACACGGAGAGTCAGCGTGGTTTCTAGGACAGTTTTGTTTAAAGAACTTTCTAAAGGACTTTGCATCCACCTAAATGCCGCCCCTTGTCCTGCAATATCAAAGTGGGCTTTCCCAAGCACACGTCCCCCAAAGAAGATGTGACTGAGATAGGAGGAGTGGGTCACGGCATTAGCAGTTCTGCAGTCAGTTCATTCATGACCCAGCAGCCTAGTCGGTGTTGAGGGCTACGCCATCTGCCCGGTCCACAGCAGGCACTTGGTAAATGTCTGCTAGTTTGCTGAGCCCAACCTGAGAGCACAACATTTCTCCCAGTTCCTGTGAGATCAGTTCTGAGACAGCAGATCAGGGTCTTACGGCACCCCATTTGGGATCCATCAGGGTAAACACCTTTCTGTCAAATGTGACATTTTACAGACAGTTCAGTTGGTGTTGTATAAATGTGACCCACCCTTCCAGGGTGTCTCCAGAAGGTTCCTCATTGCTGGGACAAGAACTCCAGAAAAGGGGCGCCTGGGTGGCTCAGTTGGTTAAGCGACTGCCTTCGGCTCAGTTCATGATCCTGGAGTCCTGGGATCGAGTCCCGCATCGGGCTCCCGGCTCGGCGGGGAGCCTGCTTCTCCCTCTGACCCTATCCCCTCTCATGCTGTTTCTCTCTCTCTCTCTCTCAAATAAATAAATAAATAAAATCTTTAAAAAAAAAAGAACTCCAGAAAAGAAGTGGGGAGCAGGAAGTGGCTCCAGCCAGGCCCCCTTGTTCTCATCCATCAAAGAGTTCCATTTGTACCACCACAGGGCAATGCGGTGGGACTGCCTACCCCTCCCTGCCCCCACTTCAAAAAGAACATCACGCCGATGAACACGAGAACCAGATTCCAGAGCCCTTTACAACCCACAGAGGTTAACTCCACAGTAAGACCTTACAATACTTAGATCTGATAATAGTTATTTTAATAACGAAAAAATTATTTCATTTTGAAATGAACAAATGTAATGACTATTTGCTTTAGAAATTTTTAAAAATACGTAACTTTTTTTTTAAAGATTTTTATTTATTTAGTTGACAGAGAGAGTGAGGGCGTGAGAGAGGGAACACAAGCAGGGGGAGTGGGAGAGGGAGAAGCAGGCTTCCGCTGAGCAGGGAGCCCAATGGGAGGCTTGATCCCAGGACTCTGGGATCATGACCTGAGCCAAAGGCAGACGCTTAATGACTGAGCCACCCAGGCGCCCCCAAAATACAAAACTTTAAAGCAGTTAAGGATTGCCTAAGACCGAGCTGATCACAGCCAATACTCATATGTATTTTTCCCTTAAGTCTTGTTCTATGTATATAAAAAAGTATTTTTACACTAATGGAATCATACCACATATTGAGGATTATATTCTTCTTTTTATGTGACATTATATCCAAGAACATTTTCTCATAACATTGGTTTTTTTCAAACATTTTTATGTATATATACTATACTATGGATAAATACACCACAAGACAAGCCACCATTTTCCTACTGTTGGCCGTTTACGAAGCTTCCAACACTGTGAGGAACAGCTTTCTTTGTCAACTAATCTCTTACTGCATCTTTGATCATTTCCTTAAAATAATCCTTTAAAAAGAGATTTAAAAGTACAAGTACCATGTCAAGAGGTAAAAGCATTTTATTTATTTATTTTTAAAGATTTTATTTATTTATTTGACAGAGAGAGACAGCGAGAGAGGGAACACAGCAGAGGGAGTGGGAGAAGGAGAAGCAGGCTTCCCGCAGAGCAGGAAGCCCGATGAGGGGCTCAATCCCAGGACCCTGGGATCATGACCTAAGCTGAAGGCAGATGCTTAACAACTGAGCCACCCAAGTACCCTGGTAAAAGCACTTTAGAGTCATTACTATGGTCAACTGCTTTTGTAAGAGGTTGTGTCAATCTTCATTTCCTCCAGAAACCTTGCCCAAAGTCTCACCTTTTGAACCCTGCCAAAATTATTTTCTAAAAATCTTTATCAAATTAATGATGAAAATAGTATCATATTTTGAGTTTCACTTTTCTGATGATTAGTATGAGTGAATGTTTCCTGGTACCAGCTTACAAAGGCTGTTTTTTTTTAAAAAAAGAATGAGTCCTGAGTTGATATTCTAAATGAAAGACATTCAAATGACTTTGTTGTTTCTGTCTTACTACAAAGAATTACCTGGAGGAGAAGAAAACATCTTTTCAAATTCCCTTGACTGTTACTGCTTTTATTTTTAATTTCCATTTTTAAATGGGCTATCTATTTTTACATCCACTACACCTGTATTTTTAAATAGCTTATAAATTCAAAATCCAAAATTCAGAAAGGTGAAACGGAGTCTCTCTGGCCCGTCACCCATTAATTCCCCCAGTGGAGCCAACCATTGTTAGCACTTTGTCTTCCGCTTATTTCCAGAGATCGTCTGATGCATAGAAAGAAATTTTTGCATGTGTGGGCATTTCCGTCCCTTTTTCATACCAGTGATGGCATGTGACACACACTGTTAATCACTCTGCCTCTTTCACTCAACTCTGTATCTTAGCTGTTTTGTGTTTGAAACCGAGTCCTTCCAAGTCATCTCCTCCAAATCTTTGTATCTAAGACACCAAGCAGAATGGTAACTGAATATTCCAATAATATTTATAATAACTAACATGTTAGTTTTCAATAGATCAAATTTTTCATACAATAAAATCATAGGACCACTGTATAGTACACCGGGCTCCTCTCCATGTGTTTGGTACACCTGTTTTTTCTTTTAATAGAACTTTGATTTTAATAATTTAATTGCCACCAAGATTTAAAGCGTCTGTATCTTTGCATTTGTAAAATTCTATTGGTCATTGCCATGATTTATTTCATGCTGAGACCCACCGGGATTGCAAATTTTAACTGTACAATGAAAAAAAATAAGATTTATTTTTCTACACTCTGCTTTATGAGACGATTTCCAGAGATGGGTCACAGTGAAAAGGGGGCACCATTTCTGGGTAATTGTGTGAGCTCCAACTTATTTCAGGTGAGCAGAGACAGAGCTGAAGCCCATGAATTGTGGCCCCGCTTTCCTCTTTACTGCAAAGAGCCCATTAGAAGCCTCAAATCTGCTTGCCCGTGGGGTCTTTTTAAACTACTATTTAATACTTCAGAGAGACAGCAAAACTAGATTAGGTCTGACTTTACTTATCTGGGGAAATAAGTATCAGCATACTACTAGAGGGTCCCAGATTTTCTGTCCTTTAACCGACAGTTTATGTTTCTGGGGACCTCGGTTTTCCCATGTTTAAAGTGAAGCTGCCAATTCCCTGCCCAGGAAGCATGTTGCTTATATCCCATGAGAAAAGGCATGCTATCCATGCTGAAGAAACTTCCAATGTACTTCATGTCCCTTTCCCCAGTGGTGTACAGATTGAGAAGCTATTTTTGCTCACTGCAAATTCGGCATTTACAAAAGCCCTTTTCTTGAGGAATCTTCTTAGCACGTCTCTGATGAGAAAAAGGGTTATTCTGTATGCTAGTCATACAAACTTCCACAGACCCCATATAGAATGCCTATCAGAAAATACGCATGCAAGTAAAAACAGCTCACCGTGACTGCAAGGGTTTGCTCACGCAGCTCCAGGAGGATGAGGACCCGGCTAAGCTCATTAATTGAGCCATCTATGCGGATTACACGTGTATCTCCATGCAAGAGTGACGGTACTCAGGGTGTAAAGAAATGTACTTAACTATGCTAGTCAACCCGCACCTTCTATTATGGCTACACAGTCTCGAACCCACACAGGGCTTCTAGGGCAACACTCTGGATCACCTGGCTAATGAATATGTATGGAGCATCTCTCCTCACAGAAACCAGTTACGCTGTTTGCCCCGTCACAGAGTGGGGAGTTTTTTATTTAACGCTAAAACTGACTCCAACCATTTCTGCCTCTTAAGGGGAAGGCAGAAGAATGGCACAATTCGGTCATAGTAATAAACTATAGTCCTAAAAATAAGCAGTTGCTCCTAAAATATGATGGCCTCCTTCAATATTCTGTAATCCTAACGGGTGTGACTGGGAAGCGAGGGTCCCAGCCTTTGAATGAGCAAACGTGGACCCCAAAGCTGGGTTGAGGGGTGAGACGCTAAGGAGGGCGTTCCTTAATACCAGAGGAGCAGGGAAGCTTGGAGAGGGCAAGACGTCTGGCAATGTGGTGATGCCTGACCTCCATCTCCTCAGCCCTGCGGGAACACTGTTACTGACACACGTGGCTTGTCCGGGAGACGGGGGAGAGTATGGAGGCGTCGTCAGGTAGCAGTATGGAGCTACAGCAGGAGAGGGGCAATGAAGTAGGAGGAAGCAGGAACCTGCAGCCGGCGGGCACTCGTACCCATGGTGACATCCGGGTTACAGCGGCCCACCTGGCAACAGCACAGATCGGTATGGCCGCCTGCCTGCAAGGAAGTGGTCAACCAGAGCAGAATGGCGGGCACTTCTACAGGCAAACTCCACGTACCTGTAACCCACCAGATTAAACTGGAACTGGGAAACCACGAACACGCCGAGAGCATCAATCCGCTCGCCAAGCCCAGCAGGACTGCACCTCTGTAAGAAAATGACATGCTGTGGGGCATCTGCCGTCATTAATATTTCACTGCCCCAAATATAAAAGGGAAATGCATCTCCTACCTCTAGGTACGTCCAAGAGATAATATGAGGGTGAAAAAACCCACTGAGATCATGAAAACCAACATAATATCCATTCAGAACATGGAAGTAACAGCTCAGACTTGAGATAAATGATTATCTTCAATCTTTCATGGTCAAGGTAAAACACAATGATTGAGTTTTCTCAGACTATTAAATTAGAATCTATATTGGCCATGTGACATTTTATTTTATTTTTAAAGATTTTATCTATTTGAGAGAGAGGGAGTGCAGCGCAAGAGCATGGGGAGGAACAGAGGGGGAGGGAGAGGGACAAGCCGACTCTGCGCTGAGCTCCGAGCCCAGTGCAAGCTGTCCATCCCAGGACCCTGAGATCATGACCTGAGCCGAAATAGTTATCTGAGGCAGATGTTTTAAAGGTTCCTCCAATCTTTTTACATGAAAGGCTGGGCCTGAACACAGGAGAAAACAGGTATCCCAAAGATTAGAGAAAGGGTTAATGAGGACCAAGTACATGAACCAACACTTAAACTCAAGACTGCGGACTCCCCGGGGTGCCCCATGGTTGGAGCAAGTACCAGAGGATGCAGAGATCTCCCTGGGCTTCCCTCCTTCTCAGAGAATATAGATCAATGCCCAGACTGCCAACCTGGTCTCTCTCAATCAGGGCACTGGGGTCTCATCCCACCAAATGCCAAATGAGGGGTCTGGAGGAAATGGTCAGGGAATGCCATGTCTCCCCTGCCCCAGAGAACGCTCCTCCAGGCGGGGATTCCTCAGAGTGCCCAAGCAGGAGCTCCCAGAACCTCTTACTCAGCCGTGCATATCCCTCAGCCTTCCATCACCTGCTTTTTAGCAATTGTTCAGCACAGGGGCAAACACCCTTCTGGCTCCATCACCATAGTACACAATAATGTCATGCTAGGTCGGGAAAGTGGAATATGAACCATCTGGCTGGCACAGATCTAGCTGCTCAACAAAAGAAGTATTTCTTCCTTCAACTATACTAGCCAATTTCCTGATTGCTTCCAAACCGAAACTCACCCAAATGGGTTAGGATCTGGCCCTGGATGGGGGTGCCCACTCACTGCCCATCTGGAAACAAGCGAGACCTCTCCAAAAATCCAGTGGGTGAGGAACACAAGACTGCCAAAGGCAGCCCCTGCCAACCACCAGGCAGGTCTGGAGGCCATGCCTTTGGCTGCCTCTCTGGGCTTTTTTCCCTCTGGTTTATTGCAGTCACCATCTAGGATTAAAAAAAAAAAAAAAGGAAAAGAGTCAGTTACATGAAAATTTACCCTCTACCTTGCACAGACTTTTAGCAAGTTAAGAAATGGTACCTGGCTTCAGGGAGCTTATTTCAGAAGGGAAGGTGAGACATGAAACTACAATACAAAGCAGAACAGGCTGAGAAGCTGGTTGGTGGGAGAGACGATTTCAGACAGGCTAGATCAGGAATGGTGTAGAGAGAACAAAGCACTTTGGAATTTCACAAGTGAAAATGCATCAAGGCGGGGGCACGCCTGGGTGGCTCAGTCAGTTAAGAGTCTGCCTTCAGCTCAGGTCATGATCCCGGGGTCCTGGGATCGAGCCCCACATCGGGCTCCCTGCTCAGTGGGGAGTCTGCTTCTCCCCCTCCCTCTGCCTCTCCACACCACTCTTGCTCTCTCTCTCAAATAAATAAAACCTTAAAAAAAAAAAAAAAGAAATGCAGCAAGTTATTTACTGTGAAATTAACAGTTATGTGAAGTTAACAGTTACGAGCAAAATTACGGAGAGAAAAAGGGACTGATATGTTCAGGGAATACCGGGCCGCGTCCCCCCAGAACAGGGCTCTCATCTAACCCACTGAGCACCCAGAGGAACAGCAGTACACTGACTGGGCAGTTACTGAGAGTCAGGTCCTGTTCCCAGCCTTTGATACGAACTCATTCCACCCTCCCAACAACTTCATGAGTAAACTCTATTACTAGTCCCATTTTACAGATTAGAAAACTGAGACCCAGAGAGAACAAGCCACTTGTCCAAGATCATACCGCTGGTAAAGAGAGCTAAGGCAGACTGGTTCCCATGCCTCTGTGCCTAACTATACCATACTTCATGGGACTCTTTCACCAAGACGTCTCATGTCATTGCATCAATGACTTCACGTACAAAAACGTAAGAACTGGACAAAATGCTGGCAGAAGAATTTCTCTGTAGGAACAGACAGCCTGTTGGGCAGAAGCCTCATGATACTGTGAAGCTCTCCACAGGGTAGAAGAAAGCTTTAGGGTCTGCCTGTGGGGCTGGCAGCGGGATTTCACACGGAGGAAGAAAGCCCTTCTGCCAATAAAGGGGCCAGAAGGAGAGCAGAGCTGGGAGCTACAGGGATGATGGGGAGGGTGGTGAAGATGCAAGAGGCCAGGACCTGGAGACTAAGCAGTCTCTAGGAAAGAAGAGACCTAAATTTGCCAAGTATCACTGCTGTGTCCTATGGTGCGGGACCCCGCCCCCAGGACCCAGCAAATCTTTGATAAAACTACAGAAATGCCTGGTGTGATCTGATATTCTGGGGAAACAGGTGAGGAGTCTGGAGTTTCGTAAATGAGGCACAGGGCAAAAACAGGAAGGGACCAACAACTGGGTCACATAAATTTAAAACAGGCGAGAAAGAAGAAAACTCAAGTCAGGAAATGTAAACGATACCCTGACGTTCAGATCCTTATCAGGCTGTACCTGTGAAATTTGCTGCCTGAGTGGCCACCTTTAAAAGTTAGTGTTTTATAAAACCTAAAGCACGTATTAGGGCACCAGACCTCATTCTGAATGTTCTAACTAATATTGTCACTTGACCAGTTTGCTTGCCTGATGCTCCCTTATTCTCACTGCCCCCATTTCATGCCAAAGTTGGGGCCAAAGGGGGATTACACAAGCACTTTGTTCATGGTGAGCCAAAACCCTCTAAACTTCCATTAATCTGTGAGATTTCTCCTTGTATTGACAAAAGAATAGTGACTCACTGAGACTTACACAAAAAGTCAGGTGTAAGTTAACCAGAATCTAGTAACACTTCTCCCTTTTTTGAGAAGGATCTCAAGTTAGCATATGGAGCAAACATCCAAGTTGGGTATGTCTGTCTCTGAGAAAGTCAGCTCCAGAGAGAGACAGGTGACTTGAAAGGTGGTGTAAATACGCAAGATTTCCTTTCTTTTCAAGTTTCAGACTTGAAGCTTAAATATCTTCAGACTCCCGGGGCATCTGGGTGGCTCAGTCGGTTGGGCGTCTGACTTTCGATTTCGGCTCAGGTCGTGATCTTGGGATCCTGGGATCGAGCCCCGTGTTGGGCTCCCTGCTCAGCGGGGAGTCTGCTTGTCTCCCTCTCCCTCTGCCCCTCCCCCTGCTCACTCACTCACTTTCTTTTTCAAATAAATAAATCTTTAAAAAAATATATCTTCAGACTCCCACAAAAAAAAAAAACAAAAAAAAACCAGATAGTTCTCCCAGCCCTTGCTGACAACTAACTTCTCAGAGTGTTAGAGATATACTGGGGTCAGTATGGAGGAAGAGAAATGAAGGGTCTCATCCTGGAGAGCTCTGTCCGGAGGGAAAAGGGAGAAAGACGGAGCTGAAAGCCAGCTGGGAGTCTGAGGCCTGGTTTACCCTCCCACTCCACACTGATAAGAGCCAGAAATTTTCACCCTCTGTTCTGGCAAGGAAAAGGTGCCTTCTGCTTAGATAATACTCCACTGGCTATGGTGGTTACTATTTCAGAGGGACAGAACACTGAAATGGAGATATAGTGCAGAAAGAATTTTACCTTTCCATGATGTGTTTCATTCAGATAAGAAAAGTAAACTATGCAAGAGAGCAAATTCTTAAAAAAAAAACAAAACAACCGAGCGTACACTTACCTGTGTAAATGCGATCAAGTGTGGCTATGGTACTTAATGTGAGTATCACTCTGTTGGACATCTGATAACTCCAGACTGGGTTTAGTGAAGTGTACCAGATGCGGAGAACAAGAAGAAGAATCTGTCCTAAAATGAATCCCCAGATTCTGAGGTACCTGTAAATACAAAAATATATTTAACAACTTTTTATGTGGTTTCAGTGTACTGTGTTCAGTGAATGTCATAATTCAGAGATGAGTATATGAAATAGTCCTGTTGGTAATTTGCAGTAAGGAACATGCCTTAGTCTTTATATAGTCCATTACCTAGGCAACTTGTTATAATTCCTTAATGCTCAAAACATGATGGAGACTGACGGCAAGCATTCCCATTCTGATTTTGTGAAAAAGAAAAAAAAAAAAATGAGACTTCTACAAGCTGTATGCAAAGTAAATACTATCACTTGGAATTCCTGGTCCCAACCTCCCGCTTGGAAAGCTATCACACTTGTTTGTCTACAGGCATAAGATATGAACCTCTGTCTGTAGACAGAAGATACCATACCTTTGCAAGCCACTTCCTGTCCACCATGTCACGGCTTGCAGGATCAGCGAGGAAGACACACCAAGCGCAAGGACCACCAGCCGAACCCTGGCATTTGGAGCCAGGAAGGAGGCTATGCCGCCTACAAACAAATGAAGGGGAGCTAAACGTTTCTGGCAATCATGCATTGGAACCTCATGATCTGCATTTGGTAACTGTTGTGTCTTATACCATCTGTATACTGAGGAAGATCAAGTTAATATATAATCATGTGTATAAATCTTTTAAAAAATTTTTGTGATGTCATTCGTAACACAAAATCCACTATGTTAAAGCGTGCAATTCAGTGGCTTCTAATATACTCACAAAGTTGTGCACCTATTACCACTATGTAATTCCAGAATATTTTCACCACCCCAAAAAGAAATCTATACCCATTATCACACCCTCCTTCTTCCTCCTCCCCACCGCCCCAGCCCCTGGCAATCACTAATCTTCCTGTCTGTCTGGATTTTTCCCATTCTGAGCATTTCGTATAATGGAATCATATAATATGTAGCCTTCTGTGACTGGCTTCTTTCACTTAGCATAAGAGCTTCAAGGCTTATCCATACTGTACCATGTATCAGTTCTTCATTCCTTTTTATGGCTGAATAATATTCCACTGCACAGAAATAGTGCATTTTGTTCATCCATTCATCAGCGATGGGCATTTGGGTTGCTTCCATTCTTTGGCTACTAAGAATAATGTTGCCATAACCATTTGTGTTCAAGGTCATATGTGAACCAATGTTTTTGTTTTTCTTGGGTATATACTAAGAAGTGGAGTTGTTAGGTCATATGATAACTCTGTTTAACATTTTGAGGAACTGCCGAACTGTTTTCCAAAGTGGCAATCCAGTACGTGAAGTTACATACAAATATATGTGTGTGTGTGGGGGGGGATGTTCTTTGTATTCTACACATTTTAGTATTTTTAAGAACCAATTATACTTCCTTTCCAATAAACCGATCATATTCTTTGCTCTGTTATCTATTGAGTTGTTGGTCCTTTTTATTATTGATTTGTAGAAACCCTATGTTAGTGAAACTAGCCCTTTGGCTAAAAGAGCTGCATGTATCTTTCCTAATTTGTTGTTTGACTTTGCTTTACTATAGTGTTCATCATGCACAATTTTCCTATTTTCATGCAGTAGCATTCAACAATTTTTAATGGTTTCTGACTTTTGTGTCATAGTTGGGAAAAGAACACAAAATGTTCAAGAGGTGACCTATTCTCCCTCTTCATTTCAGTGATCCTTAGGCTTTTTCAATCTGATAGAAAAGTTAGAACTGTTAGAGGCATGGACTCTTAGTGTAGCCTTCCAATTCCACTAAAACTCTTTAAGGTAGTCGTAAGAGAAAGAGGAATCTTGTTTCATTTAATCATTTAGCATTCAAAGAACAGTCTACATATTTTCACTTGATTTTTGACCAAAAAAAAAAAAAAAAAAAACCTCAAAGAAGCACTTTTAAATCTTACCCACAGTAGTTATCCGCAACAGGATGAGCATCCACTTCTTGCTAGCCAATTTCCAGAAAGGAGTAAATATTAGGAATATTGGAGAAAGAAACGCTATGCCAAAGCCTTCAAGCCCAGTGAGTTCCAGAGTTTGCAGGGGAAAGTAATAGATCATCGGTCCCAGGCCATGGCAGAGAGACCAAAAAACATACCCTAGCGGGGGAAAAATGTTTAAAGAGAAAAAAAAAATGTTTAAAGGGCAAGTGTAAAGGTGTCCTTGTTTCCCACAGTAGCCCTGCCCCCCGCCCCACCATAACTGCCCTGGCTGACCCACCCTCCTTCACCATTCTGACCTTAACAAGATTCCACTACAGAATTCCTCCCCTCCCCCCCATCAGAAAGAGAATGTCCCAGGATGAGAATGGGTCCTGCTGTGGTGAGTCCCTTGACATCCCTTGTTTACTCCTTTAACCTTGTTCACACTCCCACAGGTCGTCCCTTTCTTAAAACCTCTTCATCTGGACCATCTGGGTTGAATTTGATGTTCTGTCAGGACCCTAATTGATAAAATGTCTTTACCTAAGTCAACCCTTCTATAAAGAGCAGTATCATGAAAATCAAAAAGAGGAACAAACAGGGGCACCTGGCTGGCTCAGTTGGATGAGCATGCGGCTTTTGATCTCTGGTCGTGGGTTCAAGCCCCATGTTGGATGAAGAGATTATGAGAAAAAAAAAAAAAAGCAAAGAAAAGAAAAAAAGGGGTGGGGGGACAAGCAGCAGGACTCCCTTCCTCGCACTCCAGACTGCACCCAAAGGCAGGTTAGTTAGGCAACAATCATTTTCTTGTAAGTAGACTTTTTTAAACCTAACCTTAGGAGACAGTATGGGGTAAGTGAAAAACCTAGATCTGAAGTCAGGCTCACCTTGGCCAACTACTGACTGCATCATCTTCTACATTAATGATAATTAACTAATGGGCACTTACTATGTGTCAACATCTGTGCTAAGTATTTACAGAGATCATCTCTCTTGTTCCTCATCCAACTCATGTCCTATGAAATGGACACTTTTTACTCCCCTCTTACAAATGTAACAGCAAAGAAAACTTCTGCGATTCAGAAAGTAATTGCCTAAGGTCAAAACCGTAGCACATGGCAGAGTGAACCTAAACCCGGGCAGTCTGGTTCCAAATGCAGTCATCTATCTTCGTCACGTGTAGTTAACTTTCTCCCCTCGTACTTCTCAGCCTTCCTTTCTTAATCAGCAAAATAGCTCTTTTAGCCACCTCACAGGGTTGTTAGGATTAAATGAGATCAAGTGCTCAGAGTACCTAGCACCCTAGGTACTTACTGAATGTAATTCACGTTACACTGCTGTACTTATGAGATACATTCGGAACCAGGGCAAAAGCGGGGGCGGGGGGTGGCTTCTGAATATGAGCAGCTCCCAGAAAATCAAGTTTTTAGGCAGGTGCCCCTCCCAAGCCCAAGGAATGTTTCATAATGAACAGCGAGATGATAGCATTCTCCCAAACGTTTGGCTGGGAATTCTGATTTTAATCACACAAGTCCGACAGACTTACACCAATCATTGTTCTTGGGACTTTGGGCAAAGCTGGTAAGTGTGCACACAGGACTCGAGTTCGACGCTCTTCGTCAAATGCCCAATGGTGAGGTGTGCTCACCTCAGGCCGCGGGGGGACACGGCGGCCCCTTTCCTTCAGAAAGGTAAGGTCCAGCACTGACGTTTATTAATCTAAACTTAAAGGTCTGGGGGGTAGGGAGGTTCGGGGGCTGTACAGCAGCGCTAGTTCAAGGCCTCCACGTGGAGAACTGGGCGCAACCCCAGGGTGGCGTGGGAGCTCCGGGGCACTGTCTCCCCCCGCACCCCCCGCCCCGAATCCTCGGCTTCCCAACCCCAATCTGGGTCTTGTCTTTTTTTGACTTCGGTAGCAAAACTTCCCAGGGGACTTCTCTATTTGGGGCGCGGAGCGCGCTCCCTCCTTCCCGAGCCCAG